ATTAATTTCCATGCTACGCAAGTTCTATGGTCTATACCCACAGATGAACGACACTTACGTGTCTGTGCAGGGATCCGTGCGCAACTGGATGCGAGAAGTTTGTAGGCACTGCCTTGCTTTGGGGTTTAGGGTTTAGGGCTCTGAAGGCAGTGCAGCAGTCCTAGCCGTAAAAAAGGGCTTTGAAGGCTATAGGGTATAGGGCTTAAGGCTCTACGATGGCGAGAGGGGGGGGGGGGATCTCTAAGTTATGGTCAAGGTTAGTGGTTCGTTGTGGGGATTTAGTGAGTCATGGGCTTTCTATCCTGGGTAACCCTTGAAGGGACTCTTCCAGGGACCCACGCGCACGAAGGACGAGGATAAGCTAGAGCCTTCCACCCTCCGCATAGTTGCAGGCAAAAAAAACTCCCCCAAAACCAACAAATGTTTCGGGTTTAGGGGTTTAGGGTTTAGGATCTAGGGTTATAGGGTTTAGGTTTTAGGGTTTAGGGCTTCAAGCATTTCACCGGGTGCTTATACCTGCTGGCTCATGGTAGGGAATGACGGAATTACGTGATATCCCCTTATATACACCCTGGCTAAGGGGATTCGATATAAGGACCGAACCCTAAACCCTAAACCCTACTAAACCCTACTAAAACCTACTAAACCCTACCAAACCCTACTAAACCCCACTAAACCCTACTAAACCCTACTAAAAACCCTAAACCCTAAAAAGTGGTGATTATGGCTAAGCAGGCGGTGTCCCTATCTGACATTATCGCAAAGTTGGGCTCTGAAGTGAATCGTGTACACAGCATTCCCTCTTCAGTTGCCCCGTGGAGCATGGCTAGACGGGTGGCAAAAAAACCCTAAACCCTAAATCCCTAAACCCTACCTAAGAGCCAGAGATAAGAGAAAGAGACCTTCAGTTGTGGAAGACCCTAACTGGAAGCCTGCCTCAGGTAACAACCCGTCTGCTCTGAGGTCTTCGGTGGCACCTTGTCATTCTTTAGAACTTATGGGTTTAGGTTTTAGGGTTTCGGGTTTTCAGACTGAGCGTGTTGCCACGAGAGCGACGAGCTTGACCAGGCGCGCTGAGACAAGCCTGTGCAAAAAGGGGTTTAGGTTTTAGCGTTTAGGAGTCTTCCTGCTTCACGTTCTTCAGAGCTACACACTGCAGGCTCCGAATCGCCTCCACGCCAGGTCTACCCTACAACCTAAGGTTTAGGGTTTAGGGTTTAGGGTTTAGGGTTAGGGCAGTCGCCAGGTCCCAGTTGCAAAAGGGTAAACCCTCACAACGCCCAGGAGACTCTTGGATTTCAACATCTGGATCGTGACGTGACCCCTGCTCGGCTGGCTATTTTTGCAGGGGCGACCTGACCCTGGTCAGTGGTGGGGGTTGAGAGGTTTACAGGGTTTAGGGTTTAGGGTTTAGAGGCTTACGGGGCTTATCGGGCCTTGTGGCGGCTATATCCCCCTTGGGAACTTTTTGTTTATATAAAACCCAAAAGGTTATTAAAACTAACATCTTTATTCAGGTTCTAAGGGGAGTTTAGGCGGGACTTGATAGGTCTGAGGTTCATTTGCTGTATGAGTCGGTGCTGGCTCCTAGAGATCTTCAGGGGTCGGTTGAAGGCAGGCTCAGGGTTTTTGGTTCAGGGGCTAAGGTTCAGGGTCCACGGTTGAGGGTTAGGGTTTAGAGGTTAAGGTTTAGGGTTTAGGGTTTGCTGTGATAGGGCGTAGGTGCTGTGAAGGTTAGGTATCGGAACAAGCTCGAGAGCTTCGTGAGGTGCGAAGAGCAGCTTTGGCCCGATTGTGGAGGGCCATCTAACACTTTGCTCCCACCCCATGCCGTGCAAGGCGGCAAAGCCACCCAAACCTATTCCTTGTAGGGTTTAGGCCTAAACTCAGGCAACAGCCAAAAAACTCATTCAGGAGGTAGGAGGGGAAGGGTCAAAGGGGGCCAGAGGGGCCAGGCCCAGGGAACCAGAAGGGATTAAGGAGCGCCCGCCCAACGTAGGGGGGCGGCCGAGGTCCTGAGTTTAGGGTTTAGGGTTTTAGCCTCAAGACACCCTCTTTATCCATCAGCCACGCCAACACGCACACATGGGGACAGCTCCAGAGAAAGTCAGCTGAGGTGCTAAATTTGTCACCACGACCTTTCCCGAAGACCAGCCCCGAGCTCCCTTTGCATCGAGGGAACGGATCTCCCAGCCCTCAAAACTCCCTAGACCTTAGGCCCTCAACCCCGATACTAAACCCTAAACCCTTAACCCTAAACCCTCAACCCTAAGCCCTAAACCCTAAATCCTAAACCCTGGCCCGAATCCCGAAACCACGTATCCGAGGCCATCTTGAACAGCATCGAGGCGGAGTTGGGCCGGGACTTCACCTCCGAGGTCCGCACAGGCGCAGCAAGCAACGGCTTTTGGGCGACCCCAGGATGTCCAGTTACTTGGGGGTTTCGGGTTTAGGGTTTAGGGTTTTTAGTGTTTAGGGCTACTTGGTATGTACTTAAAATAAGGTCATAACCATACCTGTCCCACTGGTACCCCTACTATAAGTACCCATGAACCTCCAAGTATTCTTGGTAGTATCATCATGTATAGATAGGATAGATGTGCGTGTGTGTGTGTGTGTCTTTTTGTGTATACTGATTATTGTTGTTGTTATTGTTCTTGTCCTTTTTGAACTTAATTTTGTTGTGATGATTATGGCATTTTGTTCATGTTTTCAGATGAGAAGTGTGGCTGTTATTCTGATTTTGCAGAATGGTGCCCAGGATTATGATGATGCTTCTTATTCACAGCATTGTTCATGGTCACTGTTGTTGTGATGAATGTGGCCAATATTGTTGTGGCCGTTGTCATTTCAAATGTTCCTACAACGTTACTTTAGTATTCGATTGCCCTAAACCCCAAACCCGAAACCCTAAAACCTTAACCCTAAACCGCAAACCCTAAACCCGAAACCCCAAACCCTGAACCCCGAATCCTAAACCCTAAAAACCCCAAAGCCTAAACTTAGCCACAGTGTCCGTTTAGGGCTTGTCGCGATGCTCAACTACATCGGCGGTGCCATCGTGTACTGCCGGAACGAGCTGGGCTCGCGGATCAAGTGGCGCGGCGGCAGTGTAGAGGGGTTTAGGGTTTTGGGGATACTGTTCCCAAAAGCCATCTGCGGTTGATTTCAATCTGGTTTCTGCTTGGGTTAGGAATCCCCCAACAGGGACCATGATTTGAGGAACTGCCCGTGCTTGTGAAACCCCCCACCCCAAAACCCCCATCCGTATCAGCTAAGGTTCCCTTCCTTTATAGTCTCAAAGCTAACCAACCCTGTAAGTACTATTTGCTTATGAACCCCAAAAAATGAAACATCCCCTTATTACCCTTATAGGGAAGAATATGAATTGATTTTTGGGGGTTCTTAAGTCTTAAGTAAGCAGTAGATAAACCCTAAACCCCTATATGCGTGACGCATTTGAATTGCAGCTAGTCTACGGCTTTCCTCTCCCGAATCAAGCCAAACCCCTACAAAGTGGACGTGCAGTTCCGCTAGGCGGGGCGGCAACAAAAAGAGCCTCTAAGCAGCGTGCTAGGCGACAACAACCTTTTGAGCAGAAAAGGTGGTCAATCTGGGTCCATAAGTCCTGAACCCTAAACCCTAAACCCTAAACTTCCTCCGGGACCTACAGGTGAATAGTATCGTAGCTGGAGTCTGGGCCGTGGGCAAATGCAGATGGTGGGGGTGCCCTTGCTATTCTCTGGGTGGGGGTCTAAGGTTTAAGGCTCTTACAGGGTTGAGGTACCCTAAACCCTAAACCCGAAACCCTGATCCCTAAACCCGAACCCATAAACCCGTAAACCCATAAACCCTAGAACCCATAAACCCTAAGACCCTAAGTCGAAGTTTGGGGGCTAGGGTTAAGGGTTCTTCGGGGTTAGGGTTGAGGGTCACTAGGCTTAGGGTAGTGGAAGTTCGAAGACATGGCTTTCTAGCGTTTAGGGCCTCTCGGATCCAGAGTAGGCCCACCTCATTCATTTCTTCACGTTCTTGGTAACCCAGTGGTACCCTTTACCCTTTTGTTTAAGGGTTTAGGGTTTGGGGTTTAGGGTTTAGGGTTTAGGGTAATGGTTTCCCTTATAAAGTAACCAACCCACAAAAGGGTGCGCTTATCGTAATTCCAAGCGTTTCAACCAAAAAGGGCACCCTGTTTATCCCTGGGTTACTCTTGAGTCTAACCCTAAACCCTGAACCCCTTTTTGTTCCTCAAAATACTCCTCTTGAGTCTAACCCTAAACCCTGAACCCCTTTTATTCCTCAAAATACTCCTCTTGAGTCCTAACCCTAAACCCTGAACCCCTTTTTATTCCTCAAAATACTCCTCTTGAGTTTAACCCTAAACCCTGAACCCTTTTTATTCCTCGGATACTCTAAACCCTAAACCCTAAACCCTAAACCCTAAACCCTAAACCCTCAACCCTCAACCCTCAACCCTCAACCCTCAACCCTCAACCCTCAACCCTAAACCCTAAACCCTAAACCCTAAACCCTAAACCCTACTCTTGGGTCTAGCTGAAGGACCATCCAGCGCAGCTGGAAGATTGCCAACCACACCAATACCGAAGCATTGGAAGACTCGACTTCGGAAGGCAGGGGGTTTAGGGTTTAGGGTTTAGGGCTCTTACAGGGCTTAAGGGTGCTCTAGTGAGGCATGACTGAATGTTCACTTGTCATGAAATACCCCCCCCCGCCCCCCTGCTCCTGCCGACGTCACCCCCTTGATTGGTTCAATCTCTCCGACAAAAAAGGGGCCGAAAAGTACAACTGCAGAGGGCTTGGGGGAGCTGTAGGCTTGTTGCGGGAGAGAAAACCCTGAAAGCAAACCACGTTCATCGAAATTTCAGTGTTTTTATTGAGGCGTGGTTGATAGTTGGTTCCGGGATGTTTTTCTTTTTGTTTTTTTGTAATGGGGGGGGTTTAATGCCTAGTCGGCGGTAGCTTTCAACAAAAACCTACCCATGATCACCCCATCCTTTTCCCCCCTGTTGAGCAAGCTGTTCACCGAAACTGAATGAAGTCTCCCAAACTCCCAACACACACGTCCCTCCCGAAAGATGTTATGCGCCAGCATTTCAGTGCACTCTCTCCCTCTGTCTTTATACATATATATATATAAATATGTATATCGTTGTTTCTTTCTTCTCGTCTTTCGTTATTTATTCCTTTCGTTCGTTCTTTATTTCTTTCTGTCTTCGTATCTTTCTTCATTAATTCCTTTATGGTGTCTTTGTTTGTTTGTTTGGTTGTTTGTTTGTTTGTTTGTTTGTTTTTGTTCTTGTTCGTTTTTGTTTTTGTTTGTTTTTGTTGTTTTTTTGTTTGTGTGTTTGTTCGTTTGTTCGTTCGTTCGTTTGTTTGTGTGTTTGTTTGTTTTAGATATTTTTGTATGCATACGTATATATATATATATATGTATATGTATATCTCCCTCTCTGTAAACGTACACACCCGTACGCGTGTATCTGTTGATATGTATATCTGGCTTTTTGCTTCAGTCTTGCACGTGTAGAAGTGTGCGAAGGTGGAGGTCCACATCCTCTCAAGAGGTAGGGCTTGTTAGCGTGAGGGTTTAGGGTTTCGGGTTTCGGGTTTGGGGTTTAGGGTTTAGGGTTTAGGGTTTGGGGTTTAGGGTTTAGGGTTTCGGCTGGGATCTAGCGGTCGCGAGTTTTGCTGGAGCACAGTCGGGGGGTAACCATGTCCTCTGTGTTGCTGCAAGCGTCAGTGACGCTTCTGCTCCAGCACCTCAGAGAGCCCGGGTTCAAAAAGGGTTTAGGGTTTAGGGTTTAGGGTTTTAGGGTTTAGGGCTGTTTCTGGCAGACGCAGACCTCCATGGGGAGCAAGATGAGTCAAACAACGCATCGGACCAGAAGGCTGCGGCGCCTTGGCTGCTTGAGTCAGGGGACTACTTGGAGCAGGGCTTAGGGTTTAGGGTCTCGGGTTTAGGGTTTAGGGTTTAGGGTTTAGGGTGGAGGTTTATGGACCTTGTTTAGGGTTTAGGATTTAGAGTTTGGTTCATATTCATAGCCAAGTATAGCTGTACTTACAACTGTACTTATAACCATGTAGGGCACTTGAGGGGCTTATAAGTGGGTTATAAGTACAGTTAAAGTTGGTTAATAAGTACAATGAACCTCCAAAGTGGAGGAGGGACCCGTATTAGGGACCTTAGAGGTTCGTTGGGGGCGTTTTCAGGGGCTACCTAGGATAGGGACTACAAAAGCGTTATAAAGGGGGTTATGTAGGGGAACAAGGTCAAGGGTCATGCCCCTCAATTACTTGAGGGTGTTATGAGTCTGAACAGGGAGGGTACCCGGAACCCAAAAGCTTCCACTGCCACTCTGCTGCAAGAGATTTGACCTTGCCCCAAACCCTGAAACCTAAACCCTAAACCCTAAACCCTCAACCCTAAACCCTAAACCCTAAAAGCCCCAAGCCGGCGGATGTTGCGAAGATCCCGGATGCAACACGAGGTTCACAAGCCTAACCGTTGAAGCTCTGGGCGCCCCACTCCCCAGATCTCCCTGACAGGTTCTGCCTGCGTGATTTCTAGAAGAGCCGGAAGGGGCTGGATGCTTCTTTGGGGTGTAGGGTTAAGGGTTTAGGGTTTAGCAGTTTAGGGTTTAGGGTTGAAAGGGCTTTGAGTTGTATAGCTTTTTCAAATTCCAGGGCCGACCCTGCTCTACTATAGGGGTTGGAAAAATGACTCATCTTATTCCCTTAGGGTCCCTTTATATGTATGCCATAATAACCCCCGTAAACCCTAAACCCTAAACCCATTACACAAGGAGCGCTCGGGCTCCGACGAGACACCGGAGACGGCGGCCTCCTCTGGCGAGAGGGTGGAGAAAAAGGCCGGGTGATGAGTGCCCATGTGGGGGGTTTAGGGTTTAGGGTTTAGGGATTAGGGTTTAGGGTTTAGGGTTACGGAAATAAGGGACCCCAAATATAGACCCTAAATAGTAGGATCCCCTTACAATCAGGACCCCAATAAGGTACCCCTCTGCTCAGCCCACACCCCGATGCCCTGAACCCCACCGCCTCTGAAATTTAAGCTGAGGCTTGGCCGCTGAAAGGTTCAGGGTTCAGGGTTCAGGGTTCAGGGTTTAGGGTTTAGGGTTTAGGGTTTAGGGTTTAGGGTTTAGGGTTTAGGGATATGCCCCAAGTCTTGAACCCGAAACCTATCCACGGCCAAGGGCAAAGGGAAGGTGGATGGGGACGACGTCCCCGACCTTCGAAACTCGGCGGAGATCGCCAACGGCGAGGTGGGGGTTGCAGGGTTTTGCGTTTCAGGGTGTAGGGTTTTAGGGCTTGTTGCATGGGGAAGCCTCGTTGCAGAGGGTTTACAGTATGGATGCTCATATGGTGTGCTGTCGAACTGGATTTCATGGCTACAGCTGGGATATGAAGGTCTGGAACTTGAGCTGCATTGCGAATCTGGGTTATTGATGCCGATTTCATAGGGCTGCGTTCAACATGTTTCAAGATGTTTTTTCTTGTTGTTGAGACCAGTGCTGAATACGTGCGTCCAGCAAAGACTAGTAGCGTAGCCTGACGGGCAGTCACCTGGTGATGAGCAGATAACCCGATGCAAAAGGGCCTCTTTCAGGGTTTAGGGTTTAGGGTTTACCTCCTCAAAAATGGTCTAGCTAGAGTCTAGCTGTCGGTTCTGTCGGGCGCGCAGTGCTTTCCTAGACGTGGTACCTGACTGAACTGCTTGGCTTGAGGCTGGAAAAAGTAAACACAACAACAACAAAAGATAGAGAGAGTGGGGGAGGAAGGAGCTTCAATTAGGGCTCCAAACAGGATCTCGGGGTCAGCGTTTAGAGGTTCAGAGGTTTGGGGTTTAGAGCTTTGTGGGATCTACATGGGCCTCGAGATGTCCAGTCTTGTCTTGCCTGTGAGGCTGTTGGTTTAGGGGAAAGGGTTTAGGGTTTAGTAAATCAGGTTTGGGGCGAGGTTAGATTGTGCTGTTTTGGGGGGGCGCTCGCCCAGGCCTGCTTGGGGCTCTGTAGGCCTCTGCTTCGGGTCTTCAATAAGGGGGCACAGATTGATTTTTGGGTTTAGGGTTTCAGCAGGGTTTCGTTGCCTTGGCTTGAAAACAGGATTTAGGGTTTCTTCGGGGTCCGCAGTTGAAACTTTAGCGACGGCAGAAGGCTCGGTGGTACCCTTTGCCATTTTTTAATTCAAGGTTCCCTTAGAAAGCCAGAAAGGCCACGCTTAGTATTACCTGGTCATACCAAAGCCCCAACTCTTGATCATTTATTGGCCGCCCTTGATTTAACGCTAAAAGTGCAGAAGAAGCACTCTCTACTGCTCAAGTAAATGGGTAGTTCTCTGAATTAAGGGCCCCTTGTTTAAAAGGCTGCCGATCATGTCAATACGCATTTCCCATTTCTCATAAACCCTAAACCCTAAACCCAACGTGGCACCCGAAGATGTGATAACCAAACAAGGCGTGGTCTCTAGGCTCAGTCGTCGTTTAGGGTTTAGGGTTTAGGGTTTAGGGTTTAGGAGGGTTTAGATAGGGTTTAGGGTTTTGGGTTTAGACGTGTGGCAGGTGAACGTGCCCACCACTTTCAACGAGATGTTTCTGTTCAACGCGGCGGTGATGGGCTTCGGCGCGGCTGGGCGTTGTTCTGTTTTAGTGTACACATGTTTGTGGCTGCTATGTTTTCTTGTCATAGTTGGGTAATGTTGGACCTGCTTTAATAATGTAACCCCCCCCCCCCCCCCCCCAAACAGTCGCGACCCTGAATAAAACAAAGACCCCAAACAGTTAGGCAGGGGAGGGGTCCGGAGCCCGGAGGCCTCGCTAAGCTACCCCCCGACCCTGGAAAGGTCGAGGCTTCAGGCTTCAAGTGTCCCTTCTTCTCGAGAAAGCTTATGCCTTCCTGAAAACCGAAGGACTGAGCCCCGGGCCCCGGGAGACTTGCATTATAGCGGGCCCCCAAACAAAGGTATTAAAGTGTGTCCGGAGGCCTCCGTAAGGTACCCCCTTTCCGGATATGATTCGCCTATGGAATCATCTAGTTTTAAGTCAGGAATTTATAAAGAAAAGGCGCCCTGAAAAAAGAAGATTGTCGGAGATCCTGGACAGGTCGAGGCTTCAGGCTTCAAGTGTCCCTTCTTCTCGAGAAAGCTTATGCCTTCCTGAAAACCGAAGGACTGAGCCCCTGGCCCCGGGAGACTTGCATTATAGCGGGCCCCCAAACAAAGGCATTAAAGTGTGTCCGGAGGCCTCCGTAAGGTACCCCCTTTCCGGATATGATTCGCCTATGGAATCATCTAGTTTTAAGTACGGAATTGTTCAAGAAAAGGCGCCCTGAAAAAAAGAAGATTGTCGGAGATCCTGGACAGGTCGATGCTTCAGGCTTCAAGTATCTCTCCTTCTCGAGAAGCTTATGCCTTCCTGGAACCCTCAAAAAAAACAGTCATGGCCCGAAAACTTTTCATTATAGCGGACCTCCAAAACAAAGGGTCCAGATCCTGAATAGCCGAAAAACTTTTCATAATAGCGGCCCCCTAGAATATTGCGGGTGCAAAATTATCATTTTACATTTTTAAGGGTACTTAAACCCAATAAGGAGTAGAAATTGAAAATGTTAATACTACCCCAACCAAGAATCAGATGCTTCCCAGGTCCACTATCCGACTCTGGTTGTCCATCATCCCCTTGATACTAACAGTCCTACATAGGGGATGCTCATACGGAGTAATTACTATACTCCCTATTAAGGACTGTTAGTATGAAAGGGGGGAACCTCCCAACATATAGCACATATCTGATGGCTTTTAGTTCCTATTCTCCGGCGGTGCCGTTCCTTGTCTGCTTCTGGGGTGGGATTCCTTCTTAGAAATGTTAAAAGGTAGAGGCACCACGTGAACATTCTACACTAAGCAGTCAACTTCATGTCGCCCTACACTGCCTACCCTCACCCGACAAGGAACTCTGTCAGTTTCTTGTAGATTAGCGGGGGACAGGGCGGGGGGTTTAGTAGTTATCTTGGGGAGGAGGAGCGCTACACCCTCATGTCTGCCCCCAAGCCCCGATTCGAGGATTCTAGACCCCAAGCCCCAGGCACGAAAGAAACTTCAGGGCTTAGGGTTTGGGGTTCGAGGTTTTAACACGAATCCCCAAACTCTAAACCGACCCAATCAAGGACAGCAAGTGGATGCACATCGTCCTCGAACGCTTCGATGCCATGGCGACGAACGTGGCCAACACGAATCGGATCCAGGAGTTTGGGGTTTAGGGTTTAGGGTATAGGGTTTAGGGTTTCGGGTTTAGGGTTTAGAGGCTTCTAGTCGGGCAGCCAGGGCTTAGGGGTTTGCGATATTAGGGGTACGTCAGTAGGGGTCCTTCTTATCAAGGAAACCCTACTATTTGGGGGTGTATATTCGGGGTCTCTGATTTCCGTAAACCTTCCAAGTGGATCTTGACAGGTATGATGGTCCTGTTGTGGCTCAAAACCCCTAAGCCCGAAACCCTAAACCCCAAACCCTAAACCCTAAACCCTATGGGGATTTCAGGGTGCGCAGGGCAAGTGATCCCACTCTTTGCAAACTCCCGCTCCGAGCCTCTGAAGCATTGGTGAGAGGGAGAGAGAGGGGGTTGAGGGGGGTCGTTTAGGGTTTAGGGTTCAGGGTCTAGGGTTTAGGGTTTAGAAGAAGAAGAAGAATAAGAAGAAGAAGAAGAAGAAGGTTGAGGGTTTGGAGGGCAAGGTTTTGGTTTCGGGGTTGGGGATTGCTGTCTGTTGTTTGTTGTTTGTTCTTGCTCTTGCTGTTGCCATTGCCATTGCTAGTGCTGTTGCTCTTATCATATTCAGGATTATTTTCAGAGGGTGAATACTAGGACAGGACAAAGAAGTGAATCGTCCCGAGTGGGCTTTAGGGTGGAGGGCTTAGTGTTGGGCGACAGTTTTGTTTTGTTTGGGTAGGGTCTTAAAGCTTTGATACGCGCCGTGCGATTGCAGGAAGAGTGCGATGTGCTGACGCTGCTGCTGTCCGGCTACAAGCAGGCCCACTCTTCAGCTTATCCGCACAACCCTAAACCCTAAACCCTAAACACCAAACCCTAAAGCCTAAACCCAGAAGAAAGACCCTAAAAGTTCGCCTACCACCCAACAAACACTCCAACGCTGACCACCATGAAGTTCGATCCCCTGAGTCAACTTATCACGTACGCCGTACCCTGCCATTTCGAGACCCTCGAAACATTTAGGGTTTAGCGTTTAGGGTTTAGGGTTCCTTACTTGGAGGGTCATGGGTTAGAACCCCATTCATAAGTCTACCTATAGCCTGGGTACTTTCTTGTTAACCCAACTCTCAGTCTACTTATAACTTACAACCTACTTAGAGGACTTCGGGGACTTAGGGGGCTCATAAGTACAGTTGTTTTTGGGGTTTTAAGTGCCCTGAACCTCCAAGTAAGGGGAGTTCATTGGGGGCTGGGGAACCATAGGGAGCTTGGGGAGCCATTATGGATCAGTGGGGGGTATTAGGGAACCTTTGGTCGTTGAACCCTAAACCCTAAACCCTAAACCCTAAACCCTAAACCCTAAACCCTAAACCCTAAACCCTAAACCCTAAACCCTAAACCCTAAACCCTAAACCCTAGCTGGGGTCTTGATAGGTCTTTGGATTTGAGGTCGGCTTCGAGGAACTGGTTTGAAAGCTATTACAACCTATTGGCAGAGGGGAAGCTCTATTGTAAACCCAGGGAAACGTAGCTTAACTTATGGTGTGTATTACTAAACCCTAAACCCTATACCCTAGCAGACAAGGTACGAAAGTTACAACTTGGGGTAGGTGTTTCTACAGGGCTGCCTTTGCGTTTTTGCCGCGGGTGCGCACCGGGGTGTGGGTTGGTTGGCCGTGGGTGGCTTTGAGGCAAACCTTCAGTCTCAAAAAGGTTCAGGGGTTCAGGGTTTAGGGTGTTGTTGCAGCACAGTTAAGCAAAAAGTTCCGGGTACCCAACAGAGGCAATTGGAATTGGGGTCCAGTCAGAGGGTTCCCAACTCTAGAAGCCCTTGCTGCTGCACATCAGCACTTCGAGTTCAGCATGTGAACCCGGCAAACGGCGGTCCGTCCTACGGCGGAAAGCAACAGCTGTGTATAGAGCCCAATTCCTAACACGCATAAAACCTGTGAGAAGAAGAATGCTTTAACCCGGCATCTATAGTCGAGCAAACCTGAGTCACTCAGCCGCTCGCAGCGTTCGTCCACCCCGGTCCCACGCATATGCCTCTTGGGCTGCTTTTATTGTCACGGGCCCATAAACGTGTAAAAGAGGGTCTTCGTAATTACTAATCGTACTCCCTTATGGTCTCTTTAGAATTGTACTGCAAGAACACCCCCAAAAAACCCTCTTCTGATTCTTCGGGATCCTAGATGAAGCCCGAGTCAGCCAAAGGGTCCCCCGAAGCCTCAACCACCCCCGCACGCCATGGCGGCCATTGCGCCCCGGAGCCTGCAGCCAAGCGCCGGGCCCCCCACGGCGCGACGGGCGCTTCTTTCCTTGCGGCCCAGTCCTAGGTAGGATAAGGGGGGGACCCTTAGAAGGGAACCCTTCTCAATTCACTCTTCTGGCTCTCTTCAACAGGGACCTTATTCAGAGGGTCTAGATCCCGGTCCCCCTACTCCTATCCCTAAGCAGGAAGGCATGGAAACTGGAGAGGCCAGGAGCCTCCTTCCCACTTCTGCTTACGGCGGCTGTAGCTTCAAAGGGGCGGCAGCCGAAGACGCCGAGGAGGATGTGCCTTGGATAACTAAGTGGAGTCGCTTATATGGGGTGGAAGTACATATGCATACATATATATATATATAATTATATATATATATATGTATATATATATATACATGTACCGTAAGAGGGTGGACAACTCAACCGACAGCTTTGGCTGAGCACGTATGAAAGGGAGGGAGGGGGAGGGGATACAGGATCCCAAACTAAACCCTAAACCCTAAACCCTAAACCCTAAACCCTAAACCCTAAACCCTTCTTTTGGTTCCTATGAGGTTTGGCCAGCTGGCAGACATCACCGCCTCATTTGTGGAAGAGCCGGCCGAAAAGACTCGACGGCGGCTCGGGCCACTACTGGATGCGATCAACTCTCTTGAGCCCCAGATGAGGCTAAGCTTATGCCCTTGGAATGTTTTTAGGGTTAGGGTTTAGGGTTTAGGGTTTCTTTCTCCTAAAACTGGTTCATCCTTCCAGGGACCTAATATTTCGGTTACTAGGAACCCCTATCAGATGAGGCTAACTTTCGTTCTTTCCCTTCTACCGGCCCCCTAATTATCCTCTCAGGGACCCAATCGTCAGGCTACGAGGAACCCCTGTAAGGATCCCAGAATCAAGTCCCCGGAAGGATAAAGTGGGTAGCTAGTCGGTTTATAAGGACCTTGTTCTCCCCTAAACCCCTACACCGCCTGAACCCTAAACCCTATACGTTCCTTTTCCCTAAACCCCATAAACCCCATAAACCCCTAAACCCCCATAAACCCCTATAAACTCTATAAACCCTCTGTGCTTTTTCCACGGGCTAAAGCGAGGAAGGAGATGAGCCTGGAAGCCCTTCAGGGAGCCACTGCAGAGCTCCGACGGAAACTGGGCTCTCGTTCTCAGGAGACCTAAATTCATAGATTTCTTGGGTTTAGGGTTTAGGGTTTAGGGTTTAGGGTTTAGGGTTTAGGGTTAGGGTATGGGTTTCTTGGGTTTAGGGTTTATAGGGTTCATCATTAAGATACAGATGTATAATCATAGCATTCATAGCCATGTAGCGTTCTTTTGCTTAACGGTGGTATACTCCGTGAACAACAGCAACTATATGAAAAGGAGAGCACAGGGGGCCGAGCTTGATGAGCTGCTTCCGGAGGCCTTCGCGCTGGTGCGCGAGGCCTCGGAGCGCGTCTTAGGCCTCCGCCACTTCGACGTGCAGCTGTTGCTTGGGGACAAAATGAGAACCCAAAAAGGGCTTATGGCTCTTTATACTTTAGTAGGAAGTATAGTAGCATAGGGGTTTATGGCTTATATACCTTAGTAGGAATTATAGTAGCATAGGGTATGTGACACCCCAGTTTTTAGGGTTCATTTTTGTCCTTGTAAGGTTGGGCGGCATCGTTCTGCACCAGGGTGGCGTGGCCGAGATGGCCACGGGTGAGGGGAAGACGCTTGTGGCCATCCTCGCTGCATTCCTCAACGCGCTCCCGGGCCGGGGGGTCCATGTCGTGACCACGAATGACTCTTGGTAGCTGAGCGAGTACAGTTTATACACTTTGTGGGATACGAATAATCTCTACAAAACTAAAAGTTACACTTTTTGGGATACGAACAATCTCTACAAAGCCCAAAGTGCACACTTTTGTGGGGCTTCTCAGCCAAGGACTACTTGGCCAGGCGTGATGCTGCTTGGGTGGGCCGGCCTCTCCGGCTGCTGGGGCTCACTGTGGGGGTCATCCAAGCGGACATGAACCCAGAGCAGAAGCGCGCCGCGTACGCGTGCGACGTCACCTACGTCACGAACCAACAGCTGGGCTTCGACTATCTCCGGGACCAGATGGCCTGCAGCCCTGGGGAGTTGCGGTTGCGCTCAGAGGAGCCCTTTTCCTGCGCCATCGTGGACGAAGCCGACTCGGTGCTCATCGACGAGGGCCGTACCCCACTGGTCGTGTCCACTCAGTCGACGATCCCTTCAGAGAAGTACACGACAGCCCTGCAAGTCGCGAGCCAGCTGGTGAAGCTGACGGACTACACTGTGCTTGAGAAAGAGAAGACCTGCGTGCTCACTGAAGTGGGTGAGCTCAAGGTTTCCGGGGCCCTGAAACTTACCTAGCCAATAGCTGAGCTTTAGTTTTCTGGGGTTTCCTTGTTTAGTGGGAATAAAACAGTTCAACCAACCCTAAACCCTAAACCCTAAACCCTAAACCCTAAACCAGTTTTTTCCCTTATTGGAGAAGTAAGGAAGAAGGATGACCTCTTCGACCCCCAGGACCCATGGGCTCCCTTCATCGTCAACTCTCTGACGGCCAAAGAGCTACTTAGTACCCTAAGGGTCCATGTACCTAAATAGGGAATACTTGGGCCTTAAAGTACCTCCTATTTAGGGACTTTAGGGCCCAAGTGCATAATAATGAGGTACATGGACCCTTAGGGGTAGCTGAATGAGTACACTTTGCACTGTTTGGGATACCCCAGTGCCCTATAGAACTGGAAGTTTACACTTTTTTTGGGATTATGAGATCAGCAACTAAGGCTATACCAGCGAGACCGCCAGTACCTGGTGCGAGATGGCAACTAGGTGGGCCCTTGGGACATTTTACATTTACCCTTACCCTAAACCCTAAACCCTAAACCCTAAACCCTTATTGGGTTTAAGAGGGTCATATTCTTTCCATGACCTTGGCGTGCCTCATGGATCACATTCCGGAACGTTCAGAGGGATCTATCTTCAGAGGGTCTTATGAGGACCATTCATTTCAGGAGATGATATATATACATATATACCCTACACCCAAATCCCAAAACCCTAAACCCTAAACCCAAAATCGTCTTATAAGGGCCATCCCAGGCAAGGTTGTGGTGGTGGACGAGTTCACGGGGCGACCGGTCGATGGGCGGAGCTGGAGTGACTGGGCCATAGCTGAAAATAATTGTACTTTAGGGCTTAGGGTTTAGGGTTTAGGGTTTAGGGTATAGGGTTTAGGGTTTAGGATCAAAAAGGATGAGTTTTAAATAGCACCCCAACAATGGTGCAGGTGATGGGCTGCAGCAGGCCATTGAAGCCAAGGAGGGCGTCGAGATTCAGCCGGAGGCTGTTGTGCTTGCCTCCATCTCCTACCAGTGCCTTCGGGGTTTAGGGTTTAGGGTTTAGGGTTTAGGGTTTAGGGTTTAGGTTTCGGGTTTCTTTCTTTCAAATTGTTGGGTACTATCATAAGTCCCAAGAAGCAGCTGAAATTGTCTTTATTGCCATGTTTCCAGGTTCAGTCCATTTTCTTTAAAGTTGGTCACTCTAAATCCTAAGAAGAAGCTGAACTTATGATTTTTGCGATGTTTCCAGGCTCAGTCTAGGTGCCTCTTCCGGCTGTTCAAGAAGCTGTCAGGGATGACGGGCACCGCCGCCACAGAAGTGCAGGAGCTTGAGTCCATCTACAACCTGACGGCCACTAGATAGGTTAGGGTTTAGGGTTTAGGGTTTAGGGTTCAGGGCTAGAAACAGTGCAGGAATTGGAGTCTATCTACAACCTGACGGTCACTAGGGTTTAGGGTTTAGGGTTTATAGGGTTTAGGGCTAGAAACAGTGCAGGAATTGGAGTCCATCTACAACCTGACGGTCAACTGCATCCCCTCCAACAAGCCACTTACCTAGCCAATAGTTGCGCTTTAAACTTTTGGTGTTTCATTTTTTAGTAGGAATAGTTAGTATGAATAGTAAAGTTTGGCCTTTTTTCCCCTTGGTTATTGGAGAAGTAAGGCCATGCCAGCGCTTGGATGAGGAGGACGAGGTCTACACCAGCGAAGGGGGAAACTTAGGAATTCTTGGGAGGTTTTTTAAATTAAATTTTTGGCACTCTAATTCCCAAGAGAAACAGCTAAGATGAGAATTTTGTTAGGGTTCCAAGTTCAGCAGAGGCAAGTGGAGGGCCGTCACCCGGGCCACCTGCGAGGCGCACAGCCTTGGGCGACCGGTGCTCGTCGGAACCACGAGCGTGGAGAGCTCCGAGGTCCTCGCTGGATATCTCAGCCGGGAGGGTCTCCGGGCCATTTTATTGAAGTTTTTGTTTTAGTTTTTTATGAGTACTTAAACCCAACAAGGAACAAAAAGGATCATGTCTTACACTTTTATGAGTACTTAAACCCAATAAGGAACAAAAAGGAGCATTTTTCATAGTGCCCCAACAGTGGTGCAGGTCTCACGTACAAGCTGCTGAATGCCAAGCCTGAGAACGCTGCGAGGGAGGCTGAGATTGTGGCAGCCGGGGGCCTCCCTGGGGCCATCACGATTGCAACCAACATGGCTGGCCGAGGGACAGACATCGTGTTGGGGGGCGATGGCAAGGCCATGGCCAAGTTGTACATGAAGGAGGCTTTCCGCGCCGCGCATTCCGGAGCAGACGACGAGAACCTTCCAGACCTCTCGGAGCTATGCCTGCCCCTATCAGACTCTTTGTAGCCAAGTGGTACCCTTTACCCTTTTTTTGTTCATGTTTTCGCTTATAAAGTACCCAACCCAAAGAAGGGTGCCCTTATCAGAATGTATGGCTACTGGGCTACCAAGGATTCAGTCCAAGAAGAGTTGGCGCACGCTTGCTCTCTCTTGGTCAGCGCTGCTCCCGCGCTGGAGCTGGCCGATGTCGAGCGAGTTTTGCTGGGCGAAGCACTGCCCCAAGCAGACGAGGCCATGCTGGCGGTGCAGGCTCTGAAGGTCTCTTTGTCATGGTAGGGTGGCATTTTACGTTTTTCAGTGTACTTAAACTCAACAAGGAATAGAAGTTGTTTTTTTGAAAAGTGTACTTAACCTCAACAAGGAATAGAAATTAGTTTTTTAAAATACGATCCCAACCATGAACTGGAGGTAGCCTACCAGAAGGCACAGGCCCAACTCCTCGAAGCGGCCGGGCACCAGGGCCGCAAGGTCGTGGCTCTGTCTGCCCTCTTGGGATATTTGTCTATTTTTCCCCTTGATTATGGGGTTTAGGAGGATCATATTCAGGAGAACATGTTTCAGAGGGTTTTTCCCTAAACCCTAAGCCCTAAACCCTAAACCGTAAAACCTAAACCCTAAACCCTAAACCCTAAACCCTAAACCCTAAACCCTAAACCCTAAACCCTAAACCCTAAACCCTAAACCCATCCGAGGTGGAGGCTGGCGGCCTCTGCGTCCTCGGAACGGAGCGGCACGAGGCCCGGCGAATCGACAACCAGCTCCGGGGTCGCGCCGGCCGCCAGGGCGATCCCGGAAGTTCCCGATTCGTGCCTTGTGCCGTTTGTGGGGTTTAGGGTTTAGGGTTTAGGGCTAGGGTTGCCTTGAGGACCAAACGAACCCCCTAGATTAAAAGGGTTCAGGGTTTAGGGTTTAGGGCTAAGGTTTGTTACCTTGAGGGCCAAACGAACCATTTTAAGTTCAAATGGTTGAGGTTAAGGGTTCAGGGTTTGGGGTTTAGGCTAGAAGGGTTCATAGTTCATAGAGCCTTAATGGGGAGAATGGTAGTGCCAACGTTTTGGGTTCATTTGGTCCCCAGGATATATGCATAATCTCAATAGGCCACTCTATAAGTCTATAACCTGAAGTTTGTAGCAGTTCTGTGTTTTTTCGTTTCTTTGCTTATTTATTCTCATTCGAAACACAAGGTCCTGAGCCTGACGGACAGGGTCTTCCGCGTCTTTGGCGGGGACACGGTTCGCATGCTGACAGCACCTTGGGGACGAAATGAACCCTAAAAGGGTTTATGGTTCATATACCTTAATAGGAATTAATCACTTCCCCCTTTTATTAAAGACCACCCTAATACTAAAAATACTTTCCGGAAAATCCTGCCGAAACCGAGCCGGCCTGGCTCTCCTCAGCCTACCTCACTAGTCATACGATATGCCAGATCTTTCCTGCCTGGCTGCCTTGCTACCCTAAACCCCTTGAGTAAATCTGGAGTCTAGAACATGGCAAACATCCCCCCTAATAATAAAAACACATTTTGAATTTCTGGGCCCCCCCCCCCCCCCGTTTAATATTAGGGGGAAACGATTATAGTAGTATAGGGTATAGGACCCCAATTTTAGGGTTCATTTGGTCCCCAAGGCAGACATGGGTGGTGCCGATGACGTGCCCATGGTTTCCCCTCTGGTGTCGGGAGCCATAGACGAGGCACAGAATCTTACTTCTCCCACAGCTGAACTTTAAACTTGTTGGGTTTTTGTCCTTGTTTTAGTAGGAATAATGAAGTTTAACCTTTTTTTTGTTTTTTCTTATTTTAGTAGTAGTAATAGTAATGAAGTTTAGCGTTTTTTCTCTTGGTAAGGAATCAAGTCCAGAGCTTCTTCTTCGGAATCCGCAAAGACGTCTTCAAGTACGATGACGTCCTGGACCAGCAGAGACAAGTTGTCTACGGCGTGCGGCGGAAGGCACTCCTGGATTCAGACGAGGGCGTCCTGGACTCCTTGCGAAGCTACTGCACAGAGAGCATGGAGGAACTTGTTGAGCAGCTCATATCTCCCAGTCAGCCGCTGGACGCCTGGCCGCTGGAGCGCATGGCGACGAAGCTGTCGGCATGGTTTACTGGCACCCTGACCGTGGCACCCGGCGACCTCCGCGCCGCAGCCGGCGCCGGGGGTGCGGCGCCTTGAGAACCAAATGAACACTAAAAGGGTTTAGGGCAAGTTTAGGGTTCATATTAACCCCAATAAGGATTATAGTAGTGTAGGGTATGTGGCACCCATTTTAGGGTTCATTTGGTTCCCAAGGAGGGCTGTGGGGCGCTACGGCATTGGATACAGCAGGAAGGCCTGAAGGCCATCGACCGGAAAGCCGCCAGGATTGATGAGGATGCACCGCGGCTGAGCCGGGCAGTGTTTCGCCAGGTGCTGTTGATGCAGATTGACAGCTACTGGAGGAAGCATCTCAAGTACATGACCTTCCTGAGGAACTACTCAAAGCTGCGAAGTTACGGGCAGCGAGACCCGCTTGTGGAGTACAAGCTCGAGGGATACAAAGCCTTTCAGGTGATGATGGGCAAGATTCGCCGTGATACTGTCTACTACCTCTTCACGTTTCAACCTAGGCCTCTGCAGCCAATTCCCAGCGATCGCTTTGCCGACCGGGTACCTCCACAGCCCGAATCGGGGCTGGTCTCAGAGGTCTTGGCACTTCTTGCGGAGGCGCACCCTCCGGGTTTGCTTCCTGTCACTGATGCCCGCCTGGTCGCGCTGTTTGAGAATTCAGGCTTAAAACCTGATGAGGAGCGTCTACACTGGCTCCAGTCAGCCGATGGCGTCGAGGTGCTGGAGGATGCCTTTGCGCGGGCGGCTTACATAAGGGTTGGCCCCAGCTGAGCTGGCGGGTGATCCTGTAGGCCTCTCAACAATTCTTCTTCAGCTTGCCTGCAGAAAGAGTGACGCCTTAAGGGGCTGTATGACTTGCAAGCTCTTGTGAAGCTCCGATGATCCTCCGGTGCCTTAAAGACCACCTAGATCCGTGACGCGCACTTCCCTTTTGGATGCCCAAGTGTTATGGCTTGTGTGTGGCTATCAAATGGCCCTAAACCCTAGACCCTACACCCTAAAGGTTCCCACAGAACAGGAACTACTGATGGGAGCGCTGCTCCTGATGTACAGAACTAAATCTTAAATCCTAAACCCTGAACCCTAAACCCCACCCCTTGAAGAGCTTGTGGCTTGACAAAGGCCGCCCGGTTTACAGGCTCGGATGATGGAGTTGACGAAAATAAGGGACCCCTACAGGGTGGGGCCCCCTAGTTATAAGTAGAGTTATAAGGGCCCTAAATTGGGTTATAAGGACCCTAAGTTAGGTTATAAGTCCCTTAACTACAGTTAGTATAGTAAGGGGGCCCCACCCTGTAGTATAGACCCCAAATAGTAGGATTCCCTTCTCATAAGGAGCCCAATAAGGTACCCCAAATATCATACACCCCCAGATGATGTGAGATGCAACAAGTGTCTAGGGTCCAGGGGGGAGCCAGAACAGAGTCGAGAGTTTAAGTCTTCGGGTCCGAAGAAGCCTGTCCGAAACTCCTCCCCCCTTCCCAGACCAAAACAGATGCACACCACGAGCCACACGAATGTACATGCACACGAACACCCTAAACCCTAAACCCTAAACCCTAAACCCTAAACCCTAAACACACAACCCTAAACCCTAAACCCTAAACACACACATGTACACGTTAGCTTACCACGCAAAAACCGCCGCGAGGCGATTCTCCTTCCGCAGTTCAAAGCAGTGATGTTGGCCTCCCTGAGGCGCTAGCTGGGCTTCCTTTAGGGTTTAGGGTTTAGGTTTAGGGTTTAGGGTTTAGGGTCTAGCCGTAAAAAGGGTATGGGCACGGAACCTGCTTGGAGCTTCATGGGTACTTAGTAGGGTTATAAGTGCCCTAGATAAGGTTGTCACCCACAGTAGGGCTATTTTGTAGGTACTCATGAACCTCCAAGTAGGGCTTATAGGGGTTTCATACCAAACCCTAAACCCTAAACCGCCATAGCCTCATGTTTCTGAAGGGCTCAAGACTTATAGAGGTCTTGGGTGCAACTTGTTGAGGTTGGGGGGGGTGGGCTGCTCCTAGTGTGGTTTCCCCTTTTTGGGGTTTTGTTTTCCGCGCTTTGTTTCAGGGTTTGTATAGGTGTTTAGGAGTGTTTTTCATGGGGTCTAGGGCGTGAAGGGATTCTCGTGACTCTGATTGGGTGATTCTGTGGGTAGAGTAGTTTGGTAGCAAGCTGTCAAAGACAGCTTCCTTCCCTGTCTGGAAGCCCGAAACCCGCTAACCTCCTCCCTCGTTTCACCTTACGCGTTGGGTTTCGGGTCTAAGGTAATTTAGGGTTTAGGGTTTAGGGTCCCTAAGTGCTTTAATCAAGTCCGAGGCAGACGCTTCCGGACGCTTTCGCCCTTGTATGGCTGAAGTTACGGTGGTTTGTTAAGCCTTGATTGTCGCGGTGATCTGACATGCAGCTTCCTTGAACACGGCGTTGCGTCATGCCGCTCGTCTTCCTCCTGCTATCTTGCGGTTTAGGATTGGAGGCTAGCCAAGCTTGATTTGAAGGACTCTCTTTGCATCCCGGCAGTGTGGTGCGAGGCTTCTAGACATAAGTGCCCGAAATAAGGAAGGTTCGAACCATGCTCAGACCCCACTTCGTAACCCTACTTGTAAGCACCCAGCCGCCTCCAAGTCGACTTCAAAAGCACCAACCTAAGCCCAAGGCCCTAAACCCTATGACCTATAAACCCTAAACCCTAAAGCAAGCCACAACAAATCTACGGCGCGCCAGGTCCATGGTTCCGAAAGACTGGGCCCCCCGGCCGCTGACTGTGTGGCTCTTGCGGGCTCGTTAGATTTTTGAATGAGGGTTGAGGGTTTCGGGGTTTGGGGGTTAGAGGGTTTAGGGTTTAGGGCAAGGGTTTGGGGTTTGGGGTTTAGGGTTTAGGGTTTAGGGTTGAGGGTTTAGGGTTTAGGGTTTAGGGTTTAGGGTTTAGGATTTAGGATTTAGGGTTTAGGACAGGGCGTAGTGGACGCATGAGGTCTGCCACGTTTCAGAGCCAGCTGCCATGCAGGGTCTGGGTTCAAAAAAAGGGTGTAGGATGTATATACATATATATATATATATTTATATATTTATATATTTATATATTTATATATTTATATATTTATATATTTATATATTTATATATTTATATTTATATTTATATTCATATACATATATATATGTATACATACATACATGCTTTAGATGTACATGCGTCTTATGGTGTGTACATATATATATATATATATATGTCTGCATTTTGCTTTTGTGTTCCGTGTGTGTTTTGTGTGGCACTCTTTTTTTCTTACTATACCATTTGTTTTGATGGGGTTAAGGGGTTAGGAAGGGGGGGGGGAGGGGGGCTTGAGATTTGGAGTTGGTTTGCCTTCGCCCCTTCCTTTACTTTCTTTTCAGGTTCGAGGCTGCATAGGCGCAGAGAGCACAAGAGTTCTAAGGGTACTGACATGGACCCTTAATATCTGGCCCCTTGCCTTATTTAAAGTATGCTGAAGTATGGGCTTTACAGGGTATACAAGGGTTACAGTATATAAGAGGTTCCCTTTTAAGGGCCCATATTGAGGGACCATGTAGCTACCCTTGCGCCCCTGATGAAGGGATACGTCAAAGAGTTTGACCCTTGAGACCTGGCCGTGGCCTACTGGAATGTAGGGTATATGTATAGGTATAGGCATAGCACAACACGTTCCCATACTGAGGGTTCGCTCTCTAAAGTATGTAGATAGGCCTTTGTTTGGCACCTTCAAGCATGGGAGTCAGTCTGTGTATATATACATATATACACACCCCTGGAAGCACGGGAGCACGGCGCCGTTGATGACCCCGAAGCAGGGAAAAGCCACCGTGTTGATGACCTGGAAGCATTTGATGACCCCGAAGCTGGGAAAAGCAACCGTGGTGATGACATGGAAGCAGTGGAGCGGGGCCCCGTTCATGACCCCGAAGCAGGGAAAAGTGACCGTGGGGAGAGTGAGTGGACTCTGCACATCGGCCGACAGGGCTCGTAATGTAGAACACCTTCCCATTCATATGATTGCAAATACTGTAAGACCGCTAGGCCCGCGCATATCCTTGTGCGAAGTCCCAAGCGTTAGCCCCCAAACCCTAAACCCTATTTCAACCCCAAATGTGCGAAGCTCCTCAACCCTAAACCCTAAAACCCTCCCAAACCCCAAACCCTAAACCCTAAACCAGAACCTGGGTCCTTTGGGACTGAGGACATGGACCACGAGGTCGCGTGGAATTGGTTCTGGGCCCTCCTGGTCGCAGTTTCGCCCAGGGGGAGGGTTTAGGGTTTGGGGTTTCGGGTTTAGGGCTTAGGGTTTCGGGGTTAGGGTTTTTGTTGGTTTATAGGGTTTTTAGGGTCTATGGGGTTCGGAAAACCTTGAGCCTCAGGCAATTAATGTGCAAAAAAACCGTGGGCCTGAAAGTCGCTTGGTCCTAGAGTCCGCAACCCTAAGTTCCTACGAGGTGAGGGGACCTAATTATGGGTTCCTTAGGGGCTCCAGCAACTTAACTACTAAGTCCCTGGAAGTATGCGGTAAGTGCCTAAGAGCTGATGGGGACCTGGAAGTACATGAGGGTCTCTCTTGTCCGATGCATGTATGGTAGAAGAGTCTGGGCTGCAGCTCCCACCTCTACTAAGACCTTTGCAAGGGGTTTAGGGTTTGGGGTTTAGGGTTTAGGGTTTAGGGTTTAGGGTTTAGGGTTCAGGGTTCAGGGTTCAGGGTTCAGGGTTCAGGGTTCAGGGCTCAGGGCTCAGGGTTTAGGGTTTAGGGGGACTTGGTCACTCCACACATGCCCCAAGGAAAACATGGAGAAGATGCTCAAGAAGATGATGGGCGTGCCTCAGGCCTGGGCCGGCTCGGCCCTCGAGCTGCTTCGCGGGTTTTTCTCCCAGGGATTCGCTTCACGCCCTGAGCCTCGCGTGCTGGTACTTGGAGGTTCATGGGTACTTCTAGCCCCAAGTAGAAGTCCTAAGCAGAGGGTTTAGGGTTTAGGGTTATGACCCCAATTGCAAGTCTACTCATAATCATAGCCTACTTAGAGGACTTAGGGGAGGGACAGTTACTAATCGGGGTTATAAGTACCCTGAACCTCCAAGTACCCCACGGATCCATGTACCTGCACAGCATATGCTTGGGCCTTCAAGCTTTAGGGCCCAAGTATGTGCTAAACCCTAAACCCTAAACCCTGAACCCTAAAACCCTAAACCCTAAACCCTAAACCCTAAACCCTAAACCCTTGAGCGCGGCCGGTAAGGCATGTTTTTGGGATGGGAAAGGATACGCTCCAGCATGCGAGGCAGCGATAGGTGACATAGCTTTAGACCCTCCTGGGGGTTGAAAGCGCAAAGATGTCTGGAACCCCCTAATAAACCCTAAACCCTCCCCCCCCCCCCCCCCAAACAACAAAGAACAAAAACAAACAAAGCACCCCTTAACCCCAAGAGGCTCCTTCCAGTCGAACCCCCAACAAGAACCGGAACAGGCAAGCCCCCAGGCGCGTTTCAATGGAGTCCGACAGCTGGCATGGTAGACTTCGGGGCGGCTTAGGGTTAAGGGTTGAGGGTTGAGGGTTGAGGGTTTAGGGTTTAGGGTTTAGGGTTTAGGGTTTAGGGTTTAGGGTTCTTTAACCTTTTTGGTTGTCTAGAATCCTACTATAGATAAAATGGGAAAAAGGTACTCAGCCCATAAGCAGAAAGTACTGAAGCGCCCTCTGAGGGGATTAACGCTTGCCGGGTTTGGTGCTAGCAACCTTTTTGTTGCTGAGTCCACGAGGAATCCCTCCGCTTTTTGGGCTGCAGGTGCAAAATGTGAACCCGGATTGTTGGAACTGCCACTAAACCCTAAACCCTAAAACCTGACCCCCTCCTGCGCCAGAACTACAACAAAGTGCTCAAGAAGTTGCTGAGCAGCCTGGACGACGCGCCTGCCTGAGGGTTTAGGGTTTAGGGTTTGGGGTTTAGGGTTTAGGGTTTAGGGTTTAGGGTTTGGGGTTTAGGGTTTAGGGTTTAGAGGGTTTAGGGTTCGGGCGCAAGCCGTTTCTTGCGCCAAAACCGGGTTCAGGTTCCCAATTCTAAGCCCCTTTGAAAACCCACAAGGGCGCCCTGTTCTTCCTAGGCTGCTCTTGGGCTGATGGGACCAGGCTCAAAAACAACCCTTAACCCTGAACCCCTAAACCCCAAACCCTAAACCCCAAACCCTAAACCTCAACCAACGACTTTTTCAAGCGAGGCGAGCATCAACCGGACCCGACAAGCGGTCTTCGCCCGCTTCTTTCAGCTTGCGCCCAGCGCCGAGAGCTTTATGAAGTGCCCTGGGTTGCAATGCAGCTGCTAGGGTGTAGGGTTTAGGGTTTAGGGTTCAGGGTTCAGGGTTTAGGGCTACGTGGTACGCTTTCCCCATTCTTTGTTTTGGTTGTGGGTTCCTTGTTCCTAAAGCCTCAACCTATGTGGGTGCCAAAGCCCGAAACCCCAAAACTTGGGATAATGACAGTCATAACTAGAGCTTATAGTACCCCCTATTCTAGTCCCTATTCCGGACTGTTAGTATAAAAAGGGATCATCCCAACCCTAAACCCGAAGCCCCAAAAAGGGTGCCCTACTACCATAAGATGGTTACTGGGTTACCAAGCTGTTGTGCTCTGTGGTGTCTCTCCGGGCTTTGGACTCTATAGGTTGGGATGTTCCCCTCATGCTACCGGTCCTTAATAGGGATTATAATGCGGGGTATTACAGTCCCTATTAAGGACTGTCATAGTATCAGGGGAACATCCCAATCTATAGGTCGTTAACAGAGAAAGTAGTGGGCTTGGGATTCGGGCTTTAGGTAGTTTTGGGGTAGAGTAAAGGACCTTCCCTGCCTGAGCCACCTGGCGAACCTACCCCTAAACCCTAATTAAACGCTAAACCCTAAACCCTAAACCCTAAACCAGGCAGTCATCAACCAGGATGCGGCTTGGCTGCGTCACGCAAGGTCAGCTTTGAGTTACGTTTGGCTGTTAGTGCGGGTGGGTGGGGGGGGGGGGGGGGGGGGGGGGGGGTGGGTAGGACATGTTTTGCAACATTCAGAGTCCATCGCTTTTCAGGGTTGCAGAGAGGCATTTCTCTTTGATTGAGGGGCCTGGAAGGTGGCTTTCTGCGGCAAGGCAAAAAGGTATTGAAGGGGACCCCCCAAAAAAAAAAGCCCTAAACCCTAAACCCTAAAACCCTAAACCCTAAACCCTACAAGGTACTACATTGCAGACAAGATCATGGACTCTTGGCGCCGACGGGCTCGGCAAGTGCGGTGTTCTAGGGAGTTTTTTGCTGGGTTTAGGGTTTAGGGTTTAGGGCTTAGGTCGGCTTCACTTTCAAGGGGTATTTTAGCCGCACTCCTACACATTCTATCAGGCCCCAACACGCTGTAAGCCTGTACCGGGACGCCGAGTGGAACCCTGATTTCATGTTTACTCTCAGAGAACATTCCTCAACAAACACAAACAGGAAGGGTCCAGACATTCTCCGAGGTTACGTTAAACCAAACAGACCTCAAGTTCCTAAGCCCTGGACCCCAAATCTCTCATCCCTACCCCGCTTATAGGAGTGGTCGAGAAAAATCACAGGGGTTTAGGCGACTTAGGGTGTGCCCATCACAATCCCAAAGGTTGACATGTTTTCGCTTCTTTAGGAAATTGGACAGGCAGGTCACTCCTTCGGTGACGAATCTGCATGTAGTCTCCCCTCCACTTCCCGTAACCCTAAGGAACTAGGTAGGCCTTTGGGATATTTCATATTTTCCCTTATTGGGCTTAAGAGGACCATATTTAGGAATATTTTTCAGAGGGTTTGAAGGGCCATCCTCAGGAAATCCTAGGACCCAGAGTAGGTCCTTCCTCACTTTTTCTTAGGCTTTTTTGTTCCCTTCCAAGCCCCTCGAAACCAAAAAGGGTACCCTTTGTTTGCTGCCAGGTTACTCTTGGGAGGTTCATTGTACTCATCAACCAATTATAGCTGTACTTCTAAGTGTACTTTTCACCATATTAGGGCACTTAAGTTGCTTATAAGCTATAATTGCTTAATAAGTACCATGAACCTCCAAGTGGGGCTTGGGACTCTTCCTCCTCCCATGTCGGCCAGGAGATGACAATGGAGATCTACGAGAACACGCGGCACGTGGTGGACGACATCTCGGGTCTAGGCGCCTGCTTTGAGTGACCCTAAACCCTGCGCTCTAAGTTCTAAGCCCTAAACCCTAAGCCCAAAACTCACCCGAAGCCCAAAACCCTTTGACCCAACCCCAAGAGTGGTCCTCTCAGCCCATTTGCAAGGAGACTCGTCCAGGCAATATGCTGCAGAGTGGTTTAGGGTTTAGGGTTTCGGGTTAGTTTTGAAGTATACACCAACTGAAAGGCCAGGCTTGTCAGTTTGCAATTAAAACCAAGCCTTGTTCCTGTGGGGTTCTGCAAGTAAGAGGAAGATCTGGTACTTAGCTGTGCTTACAGGAAAAGAGGTCGATGTAGGAAAGGTGGTGTGTGTGTGTGTGTCCAGATACTTGGGGGGTACATGGGCCCTTATAAGTAGGGATCTAAGTATGAAAACTATGGTTGTAGACCTACTTATAAGCCTACTTATGTGTACCCATGATACTTGTACGTAGGGATGTAACTAGGAGAACTATGGTTGCAGCCGACTTATAACCTTACTTATGAGAACCAATGATACTGATAAGTAGGGATATAAGTAGGATAGCTACGGTTGTAATCACCCTAAACCCTAAACCCTAAACCCTAAACCCTCGACCCTAGACCCTAAACCCTATCGAGTCGATCCTCTCCGAGTCGGAAGGCTTGCGCCACGTGGGATACGGTGTGCCGACCGAGTACTTTCCGCCCATGGTCCAAGCCTATTGCGAGGCCAGCTCCCGGGAGCATAAGGTGGGGTTCAGGGTCTAGGGCTAGGGTTTAGGGTTTAGGGTTTAGGGTTTAGGGTTTAGGGTTTAGGGTTTAGGGTTCAGGGTTCAGGGTTCAGGGTTTAGGGTTTAGGGTTTAGGGTTTAGGGTTTATAATAGAAGTAGGACTCACCAAGCCATGCACAATGGGAGTTTACGAACATCAAAGAGCCCTGTCATCGACCCCCAAATAGTAGGATCCCCTTTTTATAAGGACCCCAAAAAGGTACACCTAATATCGGAAACCCCCCAGTGTTGCTGATCGCACGGTTCATCATCATAACAGAGCCCCTACGGATCATAGTGACAATGTTGTTCGACCCTAAACTCTAAGCCTCTGACACAGGGTTGTCGGGGTTACTACAGTCTAACTACAAAGGGATCATAAGGGAACCCTAAACCCTAAACCCTAAACCCTAAACCCTAAACCCTAAACCCTAAACCCTAAACCCTAAACCCTAAACCCTAAACCCTGACTAAACCCTAAACCCTTTAGCAATTATTCCGACCCCCATATTAGGTTCAAGGCGCAGGGGCCCTGGACTTTTGTCGAGACTTTTGAGGGTCTTCATGGTCTAACTCCAGGGCGCCGGGCTCTTCAGGGTTTAGGGTTTAGGGTTTAGGGTTTAGGGTTCACCGTATGCCCGAGAAAGTGGCCCAAGACCCCAGGACCCTTTCAAGCTTGGCAAAGCCCTCTGCTCGACTAGGAAGGCCCTGGATATTTCACGTTTTCCGTTTGGGGGTTTAAGAGGATTTAGGGTTTAGGGTTTAGGGTTTAAGAGGATCAGTTCGGGAATATTTTTCAGAGGGTTTTAAGGGCCATTCTACTCTACCCCCTACACCGTAAAATAAGCTAGACGGCTAGACATCGCCTGGCTAGTTTAGGGTTTAGGGTTTAGGGTTTAGGGTTTAGGGTTTAGATGCGGGGACAGGCGGTCGAAGAGCTGTGCCATGACAAGGTCCCTTGGCTGAGTGGGCCGTTCTGGTACCCTACACCCTAAACCCTAAACCCTAAACCGGGTCATAACCTAACCATACTTATCAGTAACCCCCCCGCCAAACCCTATTTATACGTACCCAAATGAACCTCCAAGTATAGCCGCGTGAAGTCCTCACGTCAGCCCCTCCCTTAAAATCATGAATAGATGTGTGCAACTGTATAGGTCTATGATGTATAGTGACTCTCAATTTTAATCATGTGGATGAAAAAATAGTAACAATAACAATAATGATGTACCCATGATTGTCATGAAAGGTTCGGGTAGCCTAACCATAGCAGGTCCCTGGAAGCGAAGGAGAAGCGGGCAGAGTCTTCCGTGAGCGTGGGTTTCTTCTCGGAACCCCTGAACCCCCACTCCTCAGAAGAGCAACAAAACCCTGCACCCTATATAAGCCCTCAGCAAAGCAGAGACCAAAACGAGGAGAATGTCGAGGGAAGAAAGAAGCTGGAGAGGGTCATAAGACCCTGAAGCCCCAAACCCCTATTCCCAAAAGCCCTAAACCCCTAAACCCTAAACCCTGAGCCCTAAACCTTGGGTCCGACCATCAACCTCAAGTGCCCCTTAAACTAACCGAAACCCTGCAGAGCGGAAATCTGCCAAGCCAAACAACAACAAGCCAATCAGACTCCATCTACAAGAAGAGATACTCTGACCCGGAGTAGGCCATTATTTCCTTTTCTTAGGGTTGGGGTTTTCTTGTAAATCCCCTTGAAACCAAACAAGGGAACCCTTTTTCTTCCTAGCTCCTGGGTCTAGATACTCCATCTACAAGAAGAGTCTTACTAATAATTCTAGATTGCAGAGCAGTGGCCGGCGCGGCCCAGCCGACACGCCCAACAAGAAATCCCCAGAAGCCCCGAAACCCTAACATCTAAGCCCTGAACCCTAAACCTTATATGAGCTTATATGAGTTGGTGGTCTCTTTGAGTAGGGTTTCTGTTTAACACGGGCATATTTTGGGGTTCTTATTAAGGGTATCTAGGGGCTACATTCAGGTATCAGGGTAACAGATAAAGAGGCCACCGGCCTTTCTCACCTAAACCCTAGACCCTAAACCCTAAACCCTAAACCCTAAACCCTAAACCCTAAACCCTAAACCGAGTTCGGGCCCGAAGCCTTCCGCTGGTCGCTAACGCTGATCACCAAGCGACCGGGCCGCAGCAGACGCCTTAAAGTCCCTAGTACAGGGTGGGGCCCCCTAGTTATAAGTAGAGTTATAAGGGCCCTAAATTGGGTTATAAGGACCCTAAGTTAGGTTATAAGTCCCTTAACTACAGTTAGTATAGTAAGGGGGCCCCGCCCTGTAGTAGAGTAGGTAGCCTTTAACCTCTTTGGGGTAGTATAATCCCCAACAAATTCCCAAAGGCTAACCTTTAATTCCCCCAGTTTACTGGACAACTAGGAGTCCGACAGTTGATGGCGAAGCTTGGGGCTTCAGGGATTTTGAAGGGGTTTAGGGTTTTGACTCCTAGACCCGAAATAATATGTACGACGTGATGCGTATGTATATTATATATATATATGTACAGACATATATATACATATATATAGGGAGGAAGTGATCGGAATTTCAGGCGCATGGCTTCGGGGCAACCGGGCAACAGATGGGTGCGAAGCAACACAAGGGCTTGAAGGGCTTGGGGTTAGGGTTTAGGGGGCTTGGGGTTTAGGGTTTAGGGGCTTGGGGTTTAGGGTTTAGGGGCTTGGGTTTAGGGTTTAGGGGCTTGGGTTGTGGTTGCGTTTCTCCTCCTGGGTGTGGGCTTGCGGCTTTCAGTTGTGAGCTTAAGGATTGAGAGGGTTCCGACCTTTCAAGGTTCCATTCTCTGGTTTAGGGTTTAGGGTTTAGGGTTTAGGGTTTAGGGTCTAGGTTTTACTTTCTAGAGATCTCATGGGGTTGCCATTGTCGGGCATCGTCAGTCTTCGGCTGGATCCGAAGACTACACCCACAAGAAAGCCTTAGTCCTAAACCCTACCTCTAGGTTACTCAAGACTCCATTTCGGGGTCTTATACCAAATGCCTACAAGAGATTGTGGCTCTTACTTGGTGGTTCATGGGTACGGTAAGTAGGATTTACAAGTATACATTCAAGAAGGTTATAACCCTAGTTACCCTACTTGTAGAAGTGCCAATGAATGAACTTCCACGTAAGTAGGGTTTTGGGTTTTGGGTTTTGGGTGTTGGGTTTTGGGTTTAGTAAGGTAAACATATACAGGTAGAGGGCGGCGTGCGGCTGCAGTTTACCTGTCGCCCGAGTCAAGGTCTTAAACCCTCAACCCGGTTTGGGGTTTAGGGTTTGGGGTTTGGGGTTTAGGGTTTATGGTTTAGGGTTTAGGGTTTAGGGTTAGAACCTTAAAACTCGAACTCCCTTTTCTACTAAACCCTAAGCCCTTTTTTTTATTCCTAGGTTACTGAGTTAGATCATACCCCACAAAAAACAGGACATGTAGGTAATACTTGCCATAGATTTGGGGTCTAGGGTGAGGGCAAATCGCACTGCAGTCCCTCCTCATATAGGGTTTAAGGTTTAGGGCAGGGGGTGGATGAGGAGACCACCAAGCCAAAACCTCGAAGCCCTCTGCCACAGGATTCTGACACGCGTTATCCTCGAAGGCCGGTCGCGCAGGTTCTCCAGGCTCTCAGGCAACCCTAACCGCCTCGGTAGGCCCTTGGGACATGTTGCCTTTCCCTTATTGGGTTTACGAGGACTCTACTTGGGAATATTTTTTAAAAGAGGGTTCTAAGGGCCAGCCCCGAACCCTAAATTCCTAAGTATCAATGGCAGACTTCAAGAACAGGACTTAGAGTTTAGAGCTCTGATGGGCTCAGGGATGCTCAAGGGCTGGGACTGGGTTTGGGGGTTAGGGTTTAGGGTTTAGGCACCCTGCACCCTGGCAAGGGTTTAGGGTTTGGGTCTGGGATTTGGGGTTTATTTCCCTGAGTCCCCCCTGTATAATCCAAAGGCATAGAATGCATAGAATTTGTAAATTTCTAGTTTTAGGGCCCCCAGAGCCTACCGCAGTGGTTCACGAGTTCAAAGCGGGAATTGCCGTCTGTGGAGGCTGGGATTCGTTGCGTTGATATGACTGCGACCCTGGGACCCAAGACTGAGCCCCTCTCCCCCCCGTCCCCTCCCACTCGCGGGGGTTTAGGGTTTAGGGTTTAGGACAACCCTGAACCCCTCAAAACCCGACCCGGAGTCAGGGTCGACGGTGGTGATGAAAGCGATCAACACCAACCAGGAGTCGGAACCTAGGCATGATTTGGGGTTTGTCGGTTTAGGGTTTAGGGTTTAGGGTTTAGGGCAATGATTAGAGTGAGGATTCGGCCTGTCTGGCTTAGGGCCTCAGCGGGCTGAGGTGCTGAGAGCTGCTAAAGTAGGAATAGCAGACTTAGGGTTTAGGGTTTAGGGTTTAGGGTTTAGGGTTTAGGGTTTAGGGTTTAGGGTTTAGGGTTTAGGGTTTAGGGTTTAGGGTTTAGGGTTTAGGGTTTAGGGAATCAAGAACATATCATGTTGGTTAGCGGTCTCTTTAAGTAGGGCTTCTGTTTTGTAAGGGGGTTCTTATTGGGGTATCTGGGGGCTGTATTAATGTGTAAGAGTAACAGATAAAGAGGCCACCGGCCTTTATAAAGAACATATCAAGAATCATGGCAAAGCATACTCCCTTGTCGCCAGCGTGCCCTTGCTTGTGCCTTTATCCAGGCCGAGTCAAATCCGAAACCCCCCCCACTGAAGCCATAAATGGGCCATAAATGGGGTTTAGGGTTTAGGGTGTTTAGGGTTTAGGGTACATAGCTGATCTGTCGACTGAGGCGGTTCGACAAGCCGTTGCCGTAGCTCCTCGTGGAAAGCGGGCCATGGAGGCCAATAGGGGTTTAGGGTTTAGGGTTTAGGGTTTAGGGTTCAGGGTTGTGTCAATATACTAATGAGTGACTACACTTGTATATATGCAATAGCAATTGCACTATTGGAGCAGCACAAGGGCAATTTATCATAAGAGCACTATGAACTTGATCGTATTGTAACAAACACGGGAACATGAGAAATCACGTGACAAGGCAAGCTGTACCTAGGCGCTGAGCAGGGAAGTTCCAAGGTTAGCTCCTTTTCCACTGAGAAGACTCAGCCAGTCAAGCATGGTGCCTGTTGAGGTTTTTAGGGTTTAGGGTTTAGGCTTTTGGGGTTCGCTTTGACAGCCCTCCGGGTCTAGCTTCTAGAGGGAGAATCTTACGCCCAGAACCCTCCACGTCAGCTTGAAGGGTTTCTAGGGTTTAGGGTTTAGGGTGAGCCTTGAACCTCAAGCTCTATGGATTTCACAGCGAACATCGCGTGCGAGCGATGTCGCAGAAGTTGTGTTTCTTGGCTGGCTCATGTTCTCAGTTTTTTTTTGTACATGTAGCTGTATGATAAGAAATGACTTCGGTTGAAGAGCCACGGTACTAGGCCACTCAAAAACCCGCAAGGAGATGTCTTGTTTCCAGATCAGGTCGCGGCATAGCAGTAATGCAGGGTACAGCAGCTTATGCAGTCCCTAAACCCTAAACCCTAAACCCTAAACCCTCCTGTGCAGTTCTAGGTTGGCCATATCCGGAAACCTCAACATGCCGAGCTTGCGAGGTGTTGAGCGTGTCTGTGGGCACCCAGACGATCTCGCCTTTGTGCCTTTGGCACGGAGCTGAAGATGAAGTTTTTTCGGGAAGCCCAGTGCCCCGTAAGTAAGGAACACCTATACCTTCAGTCAGTAGAGCATATTCCCCCTAATCCCTAAGCCCCCTGTCATGAGAAAGAGAAGTCCCTGACCCTGAAACCCCAAACCCTCGGTTCGGACGCAGCTGGGGGCGGAGAGCCCGAAAATCAATTAGGAGCCGCAAGGCTGCCCAAAGGCCAGGACCCCAAGTGCCGGCTCCAACCTCACTACTTCTACTACTACTACTACTACTACTACTACTACTACTACTACTACTACTACTACTAGGCGTCACGTTCTTAATTGATCGCAGGGGTTTTGTGGCGTGCAATTTTCGTGTTAAGAGACGACAACCTCGGTATTTACAGTGTTTCCTGGCTTTGTCCGTTTACGGACACGAAAAATGGACGTGTAAAAAGTCCCGCAAACTACTTTCAACTACTTTAGGCGCAGGAGGAAAACATCGGTATTTACAGTGTTTTCGGGCTTCAAAAACGGTCAATTACAGGGCCTACTTTGCGCAGACGTGTTCTCAGAACAGAGGAAAAGACCGGTATTTACAGCGTTTCGCGGGTTTTCTAAGATGTGGCCAAACTTGTCCTTAAACCCGAACGCCTCCAGCAAGCCGAACAGTCGTGCACCCTGAAATCCGAAACCCCGAAACCTGAAGCAAGCCCAAGAGTCGTGCACCCTTAAAATCTCAACCCCACAGCGTCAAGCACGTCCCCAGAAAAAATCTGGAGCCTGAAACCCCAAACCCCATGTGTACCCTGAATGACAAAGCAGTCCCACAGTGCACCCCCTTAAACCTTAAATCCCATAGAAAAAGCCCAAAAGTCCTTTCACCTTACAGCCTCAACCCCAAACCCTTCCCTTAAACCCTCAACCCCAAATCCCAAAAAAGCCCAGAAGATCCCTAAACCCTCCACTGTGAATCCCAAAAAGCCGAAAAGATCCCGAAACCCTCCACTGTGAGCCCAAAAGGTCTTACCCTTAAACCCTAAACCCCAAATCCCAAAAAACCTCAAAAGGTCTCTACCCTCAAGCCCCAAACCCTAAACCCTCCACTGTAAGCCCAAAATGTCTTGCCCTGAAACCCTAAACCCCAGATGCCAAAAAAAACCAAAAGATCTGTAGGCTGAAACCTCAAACCCCATATTTCCACTGGAAGCCCAAAAGGTTCCCAAAAAAGCCCAAAAGATCTGTACCTGCAAACCCTAAACCCTCCACTGTGAGCCCAAAAGATCTTGCCCCTAAACCAACCAAAAAAACAGAGGAAAACAGTAGACAGCGTGGTCAAGCGTGCACAAAGCCCAGCACGACCCCCATGTGTGCACAAAGCCCCAACTCCTTTGAACAGATTCTCATGTATGGTTTATAGGTCTTAGGGACCGAGCTTCTACGACAAGCCTATCTCGGAGGTCCCCTGGGAGTCTAGGAAGAAGGAAGATTGTAGCTGTTCTTTTGGGTTTAGGGTACCTAGCAGTCCGGGACATGCAACCAAGTGCGGAGGTAGAGGTGCAACAATCGAGATGCCAAGGTACTGGGCCATCGACAGCGGCAGACTAAATTGCGCAAAGGCCATCATTGAGGCTGGCTCTATCCACTATTATATGCTAGTTACTTCCCCAGCACGAGGACGTCGTTGCGGAGAGGTCGATCGTATTTAGTCGGGCGCCCTGAAGCCGAACGCACGTGTAGAGCCTCCCGGGGCCCTGCGTCGAACAGAAGGATCCTAAGATGCCTGGTTTTGGTACAGGGCGCAGCTTTATACTGGGCTGCCGGGAGGGAGCCCGACGTGCTATGTCCCAAACCCCAAAGTGTAAAGCCTTCAACCTAGTTCTTCAGAGAGGCAACTACGGAAGTTGGTACCTTAAAGCCCAACTAAGGACCAGTTCAAGTAAAGTTTATCGTAAGCCTTGCACGAAGTCCATGTGCAGGATTTGCTGACCATCCGCGCCGACCGTGATGTGTACTACTACGGCTGCGAAGCCTTGTCCCTGGGCCGTGACAAGGTTCAGAAAACCGAGAAAGGCTTTTTGAGACATCGTCTGAGGGTGGCCGGCGACGTTTCAATCAGGTGGACTCAGCCCGTTGGATGGAGCACGAGTGACTAGTGTGCACGAGCCCCGCTGAGACAAGGTTCACTCGCCATCCTGAGATTGTGCAGAAGATGTGCGTCAGCAGCTCCGACAGAAAATTCGATAGCTTCGGGAGGTTACGACCCGAAAACCCGGCTAGTTTGCTTGGCGAGTGGCAAAAAAACACAAACAGGGCTTGAACTCCCCTCGGATATCCTTGCAAGTTCTTTGGCTCAATAGCTATCTTATCCCTTATTTCCTGTTTTGAGGGTTTGGGTTTCCTTGTCAGCCTCTTTAACCCAAAACGGGCACCCTTTTCATCCACACTAGGCCCTTGTTTCCTTCTTTTAGGGTTTGGGTTCCCTTGCAAGCCCCTTGTATCCAAAAAGGACACCCTTTTTCGTCCTGTACGTTACTCTTTGGTCAAGTAGTTAAGCAGACTGCATTTCAGGCCCCAGGTCCCCTTTAGGATGCCCAGTAGTACCCTTATTCCCTTTTTGGTAGGTTTAGGTTCCCTTATAAACCCCTTTAAGCAAAAAAGGGCACCCTTCTTCATCCTAGGTTACTGGGCAACCTAGCCCTTTTCTTAGAAGTGCAGTGAAGTGTCCAGGGTTCACAGAGGCGCTTCTGAGACTTGTGGGAAAACGACACCGTGCACACGAGCAGGGGTTTAGGGTTCAGCTGGCCCCAAACACCACCCAATCTGTATGATCAAACTGGACCAGTATAATCCCGAAAACCCTGAGCCCTAAATCCTTCAAACTTGCCCCGGATCATTACCCTAAATCGAACCACCCTAAACCCTAAGCCACCCCAAGACCCTAAAACATAAACCCGCAACCCTATGAAGCCCTAAGCCAAGGCGCCCCGAGTTTGCTGATGCCTCTTTTCGACGGGTTGGTTTGGCGCTCGCGGATCACGAAAGATGGAATCCGCCGTGTCAACCTCTACATTAAGCACCTGGTGCAGGAAGCCATTGGTGGGTTGGGGTTGCGGTTGCGGTTGCGGTTGCGGTTGCGGTTGGGGTTGGGGTTGGGGTTGGGGTTTGGGGTTTGGGGTTTGGGGTTTGGGGTTGGGGTTGCTGGCGCTGCTGCTGGGGTTGCTGGTGCTGGTGCTTGTGCGCTGGTGCTTGTGCTTGCGTTTGTAATTGTTTTGTTTTGTACTTGCGTTTGTGTTTGTGTCTTGGGTGTTTGCGTTTAGCTGGAGTTTGGGGTTTAGCTAGGGATGCTTCGGGTTTCGAGGACTGTGTTGTTCAAGTTCTCGACATTGGGTAGATCCGACAAGCCACACGAAGCCCTGGAACTGATCAGAGGGGTTTAGGGTTTAGTGTTTAGGGTTTAGGGTTGCCGGCAGCCTCCAAAGTCCGTTGCTCAAGGGTTGAGGGCCCCAAGCGCTGTATCATAGGGCCCCTCAAAGGGGTCTCCTCCAAGCATGCGTAGACCGAAGTCGTGATCTTTGTTGGCCACCCGAGGGTGGGACGGTGGGAGCCCGTATGATACCCAAAGCTCCACAAGCTACAAGCCCTAAGAATCCCTCTAAACCCTGCATCATCCCCTGAGCAGTCCCCAATCCCTAAACCCCCAATCCCTAAACCCCTAAACCCCTAAACCCCTAAACCCCTAAACCCCTAAACCCCTAAACCCCTAAACCCCTAAACCCCTAAACCCCTAAACCCCTAAACCCCTAAACCCCTAAACCCTAAACCCCTAAACCCCTAAACCCCTAAACCCCAAACCCCTCAACCCTAAACCCTTAAGCCCCAAGAGGACAAGAAGGGCATGTTCAGTCCTACCCTGCAATGGCTCGTGCGGTACAAGGACCCCAAGGCTGGACAAAAGGGTTTTCTCAGGCGTTCATGGTACTGGTAAGTAGGGTTGAGGGTTTCAGGGTTTAGGATGATGAACCCTAAGCCCTAAGCCCTAAGCCCTAAGCCCCCTAAACTCAGACTGAAATCCAACATGAAGATGTAGTTTAAGAACTAGAAGAGCTGAGAGTTGGGTTCCGTCCACGAACTAAAGGAGAAGGAAAACCATATCCACCACGAGGCCCCCCCAAAAAAACGAATCCCAGGATTTTGGTAGGTATATCGTACCTTAAGGCCCCAAAGACCCTCCTGCAGAGTGACTGGTACCTCACCAGGGGGGTCTCAAGTCCTAGTGAGGGCCCAAGAGCCTTAGGGAGGTACATTCGTAGGTCTAGGGGGATCCTGATGGCTCTTAGGGTTCAGGGTGTAGGGGTCCTTGGGTGTAGGGATTCCACTGTGCACATATTATATTCCCGGGTTCCCGTTTAGGTTTTGTGCGTTATTTCTTTGTTCTTGGCACCCTCTAAAAGGCCCCTTCCCCACGCCTTCTGGCCCTCCTATTTGCTGCCGTAGTGACAAGAGGGTCTCAAAGGGCCCGAAGTTGCAGTCAGAAGTGTTACTTGGCTTGGGGTTTTGGGGTCTAATGGGTAGTTTCATGGGCCGCTAACGTGGTGCCTTACCTCCTTTCAAGGGTTCTGATGTATGGGCCCCTAATTTGTCTAGGATACATAAGGGGCACGATTTTAAGGGCCCCTACCAAGGCACCATGTAACTACCCTTATTGGTGTTTACGGAAACGGTGTCCGCAACCCTAAACCCTAAGCCCTAAACCCTAAACCCTAAACCCTAAACCCTGCCAAGATCATGAGCCATCTCGTTGTAGCCCTGACGACGGACCTGATTTGGAGTCGGTTCGCCGCGCTCCTCGCCTTTCAAGGGATGAAGATTCGTACCCACTACTTGGAGGTTCAGGTTTAGGGTTTAGGGTTTAGGGTTGAGGGTTGAGGGTTTAGGGTTTAGGGTTTAGGGTTCCTCCCGAACCGCCCCGACTTGGAGGTTCAGGGTACTTATAACCCGAATTAGAACTGCACTTAGAAGCACCCCCTAAGTCCCCTAAGGTCCCCTAAGCAGGTTTAGGGTTTAGGGTTTAGTAATTTAGGGTTTAGGGTTAGGTTATAAGCACCCATGAACCTCTAAGTAGGTTGTACCCCCCAAAAAGTGTCCTGAATTGTACTCCGAACATGGCCCTGTGTATTCCCTAAGAGGATCTTTAGGAAAGGATCCCCCGCACCCAGGGGTTTAGGGTTTTGGGGTTTTGGATTTAGAGTTTAGGGTTTTGGGTTTTGGGTTTGGGGTTTAGGGTTTGGGGTACAACCTTAGGGGTGCAAGGTAGAATCCCCTGCAGCATGGTGCAGGACTTGGGGTTTGGAGTAGGGTTAGCAATGGCTGTAGCCTTATTCAGGGTACTTGTGACCCTACACTTCTAAGTACCCACGAACCTCCAAATAGCCCTAAACCCTGAACCCTAAACCCTAAACCCTAGATTGCATGAGTTTAGGGCTGGGGCACCTGGTGCCAAGCCTTGCATCAATGCCCCCCCGCCCCCCCCCCCCCCCCCCCCCCCCCCCAGGCCCCCCCCCTCCCCCCCACCCCCGCCCCCCCCCCGCCCCCCCCCACCCCCCCCCCCCCCCCGCCCCCCCCCCCCCGGCCCCCGCCCCCCCCCCCGCCCCTGAGTCCGAAGTGACCTGTCAAGATCGGTAGGGTTTAGGGTGTAGGGTTTGGGGTCTGGGGTTTAGGGTTTAGGGCTACTTGGAGGTTCATGGGTAAGTATTTGCAAGCAGGGTTAGAAGTACCCTCAATACGGCTATAGCCATCGTTACCTTACTTATAATCTACTTATTAAGTACCCAAGAACCTCGAAGGAAGGGTTTAGGGTTCATAGCCCAACTGCTGGTGGGTTAGCCGAAATGCCAAAGAGTCCATTTTGCCAGACTTATCAGCCCTATACGAGCACTGTGTAATTAAAAGGGTCTAGGGTTGAGGGTAATATGTGAACGAGGCCTGCTGGTAAAGAACGTGCAAAGTGTGCTAGATCAACCGGAATATCCACTGGCAATTAGCAATGTGAGCTCTTAAACCCTGCTACTTGGAGGTTCATGGATACTTCTAACCCCAATTGCAAGTCTACTTATCACCTACGTAGAGGACTTAGGGGTCTTAGGGGGGCTTATCAGTACACTTATACTTGGGGTTTTAAGTACCGTGATTCTCCGAGTAAAGCCCTAAACCCGAAACCCCGGGAGGAAGGTTTAGGGTTTAGGGTTTAGGATTTAGGGCCCCAATGGTTCCCAAGCCGCCACGAGCTGCCAAAGCCAGGTTCCAGTTCCTCTGGGGCCACGCAGCCGAACTGAGGAGATGAGAGAGCCGGTACTGAGGTTTAGGGTTTAGGGTTTAGGGTGTAGGGTTTAGAGTTTAGGGTTTTTGGGTTTAGGGTTTAGGGTTTCGGGCCGTGTTCCGAGTGGTGCAGGGTTCATGAAAGGCCCTTCGAACCAGGATTCGGGCTTCAAGGCTTCATCATGAGCCAAGCGGGAAAGCAGCCCCAAATCCTTAACCATGTGAATCCGAAAATATAGGGTCGGAAGAATTACTAGTAGTATTCCCTGATGGCCCCTCATTTTTTTCCCAAATAACCCCCCTCAAACCCTAGTCATATATATATATATATGTATATATATATAGATATGTATAATATAGCCACAGGGATGACTTGAAGTTCAACCGGCGGACGCAGGCTAAGGCTTCAGGCCGGAGGGTTCTATGACGCACCCCGAACACTAAACCCCTATTTGTGGGCCACCTTTGCGGCTGCTCTGCATGGCGGGTGGCAAAACTTTGTCATAGTTAGGTAACATTTTACATTTTTAAGGGTGCTTAAACCCAATAAGGAATATATATTTAAATTTGTAATATTATCCCAACAATGAACAAGAAAAGATATAGCAGCAGGCAACACACAACACACCGCAAGCTAGGGTTGCCATCTGGTGGACAAGTTCTTCTGGGTCTGCAGGGCTTGTGAGTGTGCATAGAACTGGGGGGCTTGTAGGATCACTTGGGGCTTGGCGGGCGCTCAAGATAGAATCTCGATGTATATATATATATATGTGTGTAGAAAAAAAGTGTATATATGTATATATATATATATATTTATATTTATATTTATACATGTATACATGTATATACCTGTCTGTATATATATATATATATACACACTCAATTTTGTATAGGAGCCCATCTAGCTCCATGACTTGAGCTACTCGCGGTTAGCGACGTTTTGGTTGTGGCAGCCGAAGCCTCAACATGTCCAGAGCTTCCCCCCCTCCCAAAAAAACAGAAGGTTCTACTTCATGCGCCCTCAGCCCTAAGCCCTAAACGGCCCTAAACCCTAAGCCCTAAACCCCAACAAAAGCAACAAAACCAAAAAGGCAGGTTCTACTTCCTGCTCACGCTTTGCCTCTTCTTCGTGAGCCAGTCCATCCTGAAGGAAACGGACACGGAGGTCGAAGAAGCGTTCGAGGCTCTTTTAACGGCATTGGCACGGCGTTAAGGTACTTTTCCAGGGCTTTGATGCAGGTAATGGGGGGGTGGGCCAGGGTTGCAGGTGTCCGTGTGCTGGTGTGGGGCCAAAGGAAGATGGTTCGGAAGCCGAAGGCCTGATTGCAACTTTCGGGCCCATGTAGGTACTTGTTTTAAGGAGGGTTTGGGGTTTAGGGTTCGGGCCACAAATAAGCTAATAAGCAGGGCTGCAAGTCCCCCCGGATAAGGATATACCCATAGCTATCCTACTTATAACCCTGCCGAGATGAACCTCCAAGCAGAATATGGAGTTTAGCGAGCAGGAAGCCCTTGGACAAGATGGGTTTAGGGTTTAGGGTTTAGGGTTTAGGGTTTAGGGTTTAGGGTTTAAATTTAGGGTTCCGATTTGCAGGCAAACGTGGCTCGTTTTGTGCTGCGCCTCTGGCTGTACCCCCGGCAGCAAAACAATGGCAGATGTGCTGCGAACTCGAAGATAGGTCTGCTGTATTGATAGGCTAGAGAGGCGGAGGGTTTTAGGGTGCACGTCGCAGAAGACTACAGTTGCAAGCTGCCGCCTGTCTCTTGGGTCACATGAAACCCTAACCCTAAACCCGAAACCCTAAACCCTAAACCCGATGATCCCGTAGCTTCTGCGATCTTGTGCTGCAACTGGATCGCATTGTAAGACTAGCTTGTTTTGCGTAGGAGGTTCATAAGCCAAAGCCAGCAATCAACGGGTACACCGAAAGGCTTGATCTTCAGTCTGGGCCCGCGAGGCCCCAAACCCTAAACCCAAAACTCTAAACCCTAAACCCTAAACCTTATAAACCCTAAACCCTAAGCCCGAAACCCTAACTTCAGGGGTTTGGGGGTTCAACCACCACCCGACCCTAGGTTTGACCTCCATGACAGAATGCTTTCGTCTACTCAGGAGCTTTCCCCGGCTGATGCTCCACCCCACAGCTCTTGGGCCCTCAAAATTCTAGGACTTGAGACCTCAGAACCCTCCTTAGGACCGCCTTAGGAGGTACCAGTCCCTCTGTAGGAGGGTCCTTAGAGCCTTAAGGCAAGCCCGGATACAAGAAAGGATATCCGCTAGTTCCTGCTAGCTTTTGGCCTGCAACGCAAGGTACCTCGCGAGCTTGTGCGGCCTGTTTTATGGCTTGGTCAAGCAACTTGGTGCTTCAAAAATTGAAGCATTAATTGAAGAACAACCCACAGGGGTTTAGGGTTTCATGAGTGATGATAAGGAAGAATAGAGGTATTCGTAATAGCAACTCTTCAGCGAACTGTCGCATATCAACTCGGAACGGCAGTGAGATTAGAAATACGGAAAGTCGAAACATCAGGCATCACAAGCAAAGCCCTACATCACACACACCCTGTACACCCGAAACCACACGTACCTAATATGCCGTATGCCTTGAACATGTGACTTCAGTTCAAGTAAACGGGAGGCAAAACCCGAAACCCTAAACCCGAAACCCTAAACCCTAAAACCAGATGGAGCCCCGTTCGGCTCTGGCAGCTCAAGTCAGTAGACAGCGGGGCCCCTTCCGGGTCCGCAAAGAAGCTCAGGAACCAGAAGCCAGAACATGGAACAACTAGACATGCATTCCTGGGCACATGTATATATATATATATACATATATATATATAGATACATATATATATGTATATGTAGATGTGTAGATGCACATATATGTGAAGGTTATATGTATATCAAATCTTCTCACATGGCAACGCAATTCCTAGAATCGTTGTTTTTTTGCCTTCCCCCCCCCCCCCCCTGCCAAGCCGGAGACCACTTCAACGAATCCATGCGCAAAGGCGAAAACCCTGAAACCGAAGAATCCAGGCCGTCTTTTGAGAATGTGTGTGTTTTTTCTAGTTCCCCACCTTCGCGGTGTGGGGTTGTTAGATTTCAAACTCAACTCTTCTCCTCGCCCGGAACTCTTCTCCTCTACCGGTCTACTCCTAGAAACTCCCTGCCCTGGAGTGCTAAGGTGGGGATGTTCGAAGAAAAATAGTTGTAGTTGGTTGTATAGACAAGGAGGTCCATTTGGGTACTTGTAAGTATGCTTCTAAGTAGGGTAGCTATGGTTATGCTCTTATTTCGGGCACTTGTAACCCTACTGTTAAGCACGCCTGAACCTCATTCCCGGGACCCTCCACCCCTCCCCCCCCCCTCCTCCTAACCCTAAACCCTAGACCCTAAACCCTAAACCCTAAACCCTAAACCCTAAACCCCAAACCTGGCCTGATTCCTCAGGGACGTCGCCTCTGACTTCTATCACGGCCAGCTGGTCAGGACCACGGAAGTGCTCAGTCAACATGCCCTAGACTTCCCAAGCGCCCAATGCGGGGTTAGGGTTTAGGGTTTAGGGTTTAGGGTTTAGGGTTTAGGGTTTAGGGTTTAGGGTTTAGCCCCTAATTCAAGGAATGGACCTTAAATCATATCAAGGATCCTTAGTAGTTTCTGAGGCATAGGGCTCCTAGTCGCGCTTGAGGTGCAGGTCTCCCTTCTTTCCCAATACCCCAAGAGGTCTAGTAAAGGGAATCCCATCTCTAATCCTCCTGAAACCGTGTTCCATCTTTCTGGAGTTTACCGTATCCTTAAAGAACCTAAGTACAAGGGGACCCTCGTCTGCAACGACCCCCCCCCCCCCCCCCCTGAGGACTTCCGGCGTTCCCATCCCGAAGTCGTTCACCAGCGCCAAGCAGGCGGAAAGCTTCTTTTGATCAGAAACCGAGGGCTTTTTTTTTCTGGGACCCTGGGGCATCAGTGCTTGAAGACTCAAGAAACTCTTAGGCCAATGGATATCTAGGTCCTAAAGTACCATGGTCTCAAGCCTACACCATGCATGCACATGTAGCAGAGTCTCTTCAGGGCCTCTGAACCCTGCCCACAAAGCTTCGGCGTGGACTCAACATGGGACCACTCGGTGATTTCTTTGCCCGTGTTCGGGTTCTGTCGGACGATGTGCCTCTATAAGGCTCAGTGCTCCAGTTTTGCGCCCTTGGGTTACCAAACCGGCGGATCGAAAACCCTCTAGACTCCTTAGAGACCCCCCCCCCCCAAAAAAAAAAAAAAAAGCAAATCCCCACAACCCCCTTATAAGCTCCCGCAAATCCCTCTGAAGCCACCCCAAAGAAAACACTACCAAACCCCTCGGCTCCCTACAAATGGCCCTGTACGGGCTGATTTTTGGGGGATTTTCGGGCCTAATAGCCCCCTAAACCCTAAATCCTAATAGCCCCCTAAACCCTAACTCCTAATAGCCCCCTAAACCCTAAATCCTAATCGCCCATCGTATAGAGCGCTGGACCACCCTAAACCCTAAACCCTAAACCCTAAACCCTAAACCCTAAACCCTAAACCCTAAACCCAGGTCGGCAGATTCGCCTTGGTCTGGGTGTTGGTCTGCATGTTGCCTCGGCATGCATCTGCTAGCTCAGGCCCTTTAGCTGTGTCTTACTTATATATATATATATATATACATATATGTATGTATTTAAATTAGTATGTGTGTATATATATAAGATATCTATCTATCTATCTATCTATATGTAAGGCTTTAAATAAGTTATTGTCATGGGTTGGGGGTATGGATCGCTAAGCTTTTCAACTCAAAGCAGTAAAGCCTGAACTCCAAAGCCCTAAGCTTTTTCAAAGGTCTGGGAGGGGGGGCGGGGAGGGGGGGTGGGAGGGGCGGTCATCGCTCTTGTGGGGTGGAGGTTTCTGCAATTTGCCCTGCCCTAGGGCTCTTGGCCCCTCACAACTTGGGAGGTTCCCGTCCCTCTGTAGAAGGGTCCTTGGAGTCTACTCACTCTTCCGTAGGGTCCTGAAAGACCGTTTTAGAGAGGTACTAGGAGTGAAGCGACTCGTCTGTGGACCCGTATTTGGGAAGATCCCTAAAGAAACACAGGGGCCGTGTTTCAAAATTTCATGGACTTCCATAAGCCCTGGCTTGTCAGTTTCGCATGCGTAGCCGCAACTCCGGGCTGGCTTGCCCCCAGCTCCAAAAACCAAAAACGCCAGACACGATGTGGGTTGGGGTTTAGGGTTCAGGGTTTAGGGTTCAGGGTTTAGGGTTCAGGGTTCAGGGTTTAGGGTAGTTCTCAAAATTCGTTCCCTTTTTGGGTCCCTATATAGTACGGCGCCTTCTACCAAAGGACCCCCAAAAGGGACCCGAATTTAGAGCACTACCCCATGTGGTGTGGCGATGTAGGGTTTGGGGTCAGGGAGGGCTTGCATTGCAGCTCAGTGGGGTGGCTCTTCCAAGCTGGCTCATAGGCATGAAGGGGCTCTTCGCGTACTTGCGGCCCGATGGCGGCGTTCGAAGCACGATGTGCAGGTTGTGTGTACCTGCTCTGAACCCTAAACCCTAAACCCTAAACCCTAAACCCTAAACCCTAAACCCTAAACCCTAAACCCTAAACCCTAAACCCTAAACCCTAAACCCTACCCTAAACCCTAAACCCTAAACCCTAAACCCTAAACCCTAAACCCTAAACCCTAAACCCTAAACCCTAAACCCTAAACCCTAAAACCCTAAACCCTAAACCCTAAACCCTAAACCCTAAACCCTAAACCCTAAACCCTAAACCCTAAACCCTAAACCCTAAACCCTAAACCCTAAACCCAAGCCTTCATCCCGAGGGGCTTCTGCATTTGGAGCCTTGCGCACGCCAGAAATACCAGCCACCGACATGTCAGTGGCAAGGTTCATCTTCGAGCCTATCCTATGGTGCTCTTCAACGTATCCTGGACAACTACAGGGTTTAGGGTTTAGGGTTTAGGGTTTAGGGTTTAGGGTTTAGGGTTTAGGGTTAGCACGCAAGGATTTCAGAGTGTACAGGATTAGGTTTCAGGGAGGCGGGCTTCGGAGTTCAAGGATGTCCCAACCTAGGTTTACTAGGTTTCCTGCACAATCATATAGGGTTTAGGGTTTAGGGTTCAGGGTTTAGGGTTTAGGGTTTAGGGGGCATTGAATCATACGCCACGGCAGAGACTTAACAGTGAAGGTGCCTGGGAAGAAGTGGGGCACCAGCGTTCAAGTAGCCTTGGGCTTCGAGCTCGCTGGATCCAGAGGGTTTAGGGTTTAGGGTTTAGGGTTTAGGGTTTAGGGTTTAGGGTTTAGGGTTTAGGGTTAGGGTTGAGGGTAGTCGTCCCAAGCTCGGAAAGGTCTAGAACGTACTTGGAGGTCCAGTCGGGTACTTCGAGGTAAGGTTACAAGTATATGGTAGCTATGTTTTTCAACCCTACTTAAGGTACCTCCTCTAACCCTCTTTCCAACTAGCCACATCTTGGCAAAGGTGGATGGACCCCCAGAGCCCGCACCTGCTCTTCACCACGCAGTGTGGAGTGCAAGAGGCCCTACCAGAGGGGACGCGCAAGCCCGAGACCTTACCGACCAAAAAGCCCTACTTGGAGGTTCATTGATAGGGGTTTGGGGTTTAGGGTTTCGGGTTTAGGGTTTAGGGTTTCGGGTTTAGGGTTTCGGGTTTAGGGTTTCGGGTTTAGGGTTTAGGGTTTAGAAGGACGCGGGGTCCCCAGCAGTTGTTGCCTGGTTGAGTCACTGCGTGTAAGGTTATAAGTAGGGATGTGCGCGGTATTGCGGTATGAGGCTAGTCGTGGTGGGAAAAGGGGGGATGTAGATCTCGAGTTGTGGTTTCTGTTTGAGGCACCTAACTGCCATTTTCTTCTGCAATCACTAAAAAATAGGTACCCCAAAGCAAGAACTAGTGACAGAGAGAGAGAGTGAGTGAGAGGGAGAGAGAGGGAAGGACGCGTTCAGAGACTGTGTCGATGCCCGCTTGCCCACAGGAGATCCGGATCTACTCCATCTTCTCCGCCACTGGCATGGCATCTTGACCGGCTCCTGTATCCACCATGGCTTGAGAGTCGCGATGCACAACCCTCAACCGAAAGGAACCTCATCAGTAGGCCCTCAATTCCCTTTTTTGAGGGTGCAGGTTCCCTGATAAAGGGCGCCCTCTTTCCCTAGGTTACTTTGGGCCTGATCTTGACTCCGGCGTAGTCTGAGTTGTGGCCTAGGAAGTCGCAAGAAGGGGACTAGGCTTTACTACACGTTCATGCATGTGGTGGGGCCTTACAACAGTTGCCAATAGGATAAAGGAGCTTGCAACGCCCGTCGCTTAACAGAGCAGAACACATCCATCGTCCTAAACTCTCACCCGAAACCGTAGCTCAAGGTACTGTTCTGGTTGCTCTTGACGGACTTCACAGTTTTCTCCATGCGGCTGTCGGCATTCTTGCTGGTTTGCGGCTGGGTTGTTGTGGAGGCAGCGTGTGTCTGAACCTTAAACCCTGAACCCTAAACCCTCAACCCTCAACCCTAAGCTCTGAAGCCAAACCTCAAACCCTGAACCCTGCACTCACCCTTCGCAAGGGGGGCCTACAAAAGCGGAAGGGTCCGACTCAACAGGACTTGGGGTTTCGGACTTAGGGTTCATAGCGTTTAAGGTTCAAAAAAGTGTTTCGGGTTTAGGGTGTTGGGGAATAGATCTCTCCAGCCTCCTTCTTCTGCAAACAGAACGCGCACGCTCCTACTTCTGAGGGTTGCGCAAGACGCAAGAAGTCTCGGGGCCCTTCTTTAGGGCGGGAACCGAACTCCAATCACCCAGGAATCAGCGAGGTACAAGTAGAAACGAAGGTGCAAGGCGGACAGGCGAATCAGGCGCCACTGCCTAAGCCACAACCCGACAAGCCCATGCTGACGCCAGGGAAGGAGAGGAAGAAGAGAAGGTGGCTTAAGTCTTTGCCCAAGATACTAGCGCCTGATATTGCTATTTGCATCAGCACCCCCCCCCCCCAAAAAAAAAAAAAAAAACACACACATATATATATATATACAATAATAATAATGATAATAATAATAATAATGATAATAATGATAATGATAATCCCATATTCCCCTTCTAGTGATGAGTAACATGTTTCATGTTGTGGGGGGGAGGGGGGGCTCTTAAGTAAATAGTAGGAGTGGGTAGGTTCCCAGTCCCCCCCTTATAGATTCCTTAACCCTCAACCCTCAACCCTACCGTGGCGGCCTGGGCCTATCTAATTCGAATTAATATTTCGGTGAGTTTCTGCTTTGAAGGGAGTCTAAAGGGATAGGAAAAGATTGGTAGTTACTTAGCAAGGCGGGCAGCAAGAATACTGTAGATAACACAGCCCTCAGCTCCCCGGTCCTGATTGCGCAACAGCCAAGAAGTACCTGATTCCCTCTTGTTACATGCTAGAGTCCCTGATACAGCTACCCCTAAACCCTAAACCCTAAACCCTAAACCCTAAACCCTAAACCCTAAACCCTAAACCCTGGTGAACCTTGTTACATGGCCCGTAGAGAAGCCTTATGGAAGGACTCTGGCCTCCTCTAACTGGGTCCAAAGGCCGTGAGTGCGTGTGACGCAGGTGACCCTCTTTTTCCTCGCTCTGCTGTTCCTGATTCTGTTCCTCTGGCCAAAAAGAAGCCGAAAGTGGGGTCAAAAGCTAGGAGGCATGGGGTTCATGCGTTTCCCTACTACCCCCACTCTATGCTACCGTTCTAGGTTCCCCCCTTAGTAGCCTTAATTTTGACGCTACGCGACCCGCCTCGGCCCGGCCCAGCGCATCCGCGTGAGCATGGTGATTCCGCAGCGCCCAAGTCGCTGGACCCCACGCAATAAGGGTTGGGTTTAGGGTTTAGGGTTCCGGGTTTATGGTTTATGGTTTGGGGTTTAGGGTTGAGGGTTAGTTTAGGATTGAGGGCTTAGGGCTCAAGGTTCTGACAACCTATACACCTCCGGCCCGAGGCCTCGGCGGATTTGGTTAAATGGTCCCTAAGTAGCCTTCCTTATGGGGGAACCTAGAGGTGGTAGAAAAGCGGGGGGGTAGTAGAAGAACCCATGACGGGTGGGGTGCCTGGGCTCCTGTGACTCTTTTTGCGGAATTTGCAGCGCGCGTGGCTGAAAACGAGGGCCACGTACTTGGAGGTCTTAGCGGAAAGGGTTCTATGCCAGAATTCTGCCAGAAGCAGAGACCTAATTGCAAACGACAGCAACCCTATGGTTGAAAATCTTGGTTCGCGGTAATCGTGAAGAACTCAAAACCTACTTTCTGGGTAGGATATTGGTATAAAGCCCCTTATGGGAATCTTAGCTGAGCTAGGCAAACACCCCCCTCCTCCCTGACCCCGGCGCCCGCCCTCTAAGGACCTTCTCAACGGCGTTAAGTTCTTTCCAGCACAACTTGCAGGACGAGTGCTGACCTTGTCCGGTGTCTCTATGTTGCTTCTTTAGGGTTTTGGGGGAATTTTTAAGGGTTAGGGTTAAGGGTGAAGGAGAACAAAAGGGTTAAGGTTTTAGTCTGTAGGTTTGGCGTTTTTTTTGGTGCAAGACCCAGGAGTTCGATGGCGTCATGACATGGATCTCCGCGCTGACGCGCATGTCCTTCGGCATCTCGTCTGCAACGCTTTCGGAAGACTTGCGCTCGGGACTGGTACATACCTGGAGGCTCATGGGTACTTCGAACCCCAAGTAGACGTCTACTTACCTTCGAGGACTTAGGGGACTTAAGGGGGCGCAAAAGATGATATGTCTACTTACCTTCGAGGATTTAGGGGACTTCGGGGGGGCTCAACAGTGCAGTCATAAGGTACCCTGAACCTCCAAGTAGGCCTCGCAGGGAGAGTGACCATGCTTCCCCACGATTGTGGCTGCTGAGCCGCCTAAACCCTAAACCCTAAACCCTAAACCCTAAACCCTAAACCCTAAGCCCTAAACCCTAAACCCTAAACCCTAAACTGATACAGCTACCCCTAAACCCTAAACTTTCAACCCCAAACCCTAAACCCTAAATTTTACATTTTAAACCCTAAACCCTAAACCCTAAACCTCCGCAACCGCGCGTCGCACGCCTCGACACGCGCCAGGGATGTTCCCAGCTTCGGAGTTCGCCGCGACCAAGGAGAATGCCCCCTTTGTGGTACTTTACTGTAACTTTAGATCCTTACCTTTTTTGGGGTTTATTGGGTTTCTTACTAAGGCAGCTAAAAGTTTAATTTCTAGCTACCCTCCTGAGTGCAGCCCAGGCCCCGAGTGCAATTTTCCTGAAGCTCCTAAAGCCCTAAACCTCAAGCTCTTCATCTGGGGGTCGCAAGGTCTACAAGGTTTTCTGGTTTATGAAGCAGCCCGGAAGCATTTGAAGCATAAGGGTTTACGAGGCTGGGGTTTGGGGTTTTAGGGTTTAGAGGGTATTCGGGCAAAAGTTGTCATGGAAGAGACATACGTACTGCTCTGGCACGGTAGACAAAAGCATTGCCCGTTCAGGGTTGCGGATTTCTGAACCCTAAGCCCAAACCCCTAAACCGAGTACCTTCTTTGGCGAAGTCATAATTCGAAGCTGGCGCAGGAAGACTTTCCAATCTTCGTGTGCCTCACCCTTTTTATGGCGTTGGCCACCGTCTTCCTCATGACGCCTGGCACAGAAGAGCTTCCAGGGTTTAGGGCTTCTGGAGATTTTGAGATGTCTTCAGTACGGTTTTGGACGGTTCAGGGTTCATACAGGGGCTTACATTAGGATTTATAGAGTGTTTGGGGTTGATTTAGGTTTTCGGGGGTTCGAATGCCTGAGAGAGAGAGAGAGAGAGAGAGAGAGAGAGAGAGACAGACAGAGAGACAGAGAGACAGAGAGACAGAGAGACACAGAGAGACACAGAGAGACACAGAGAGACACAGAGAGACACAGAGAGACACAGAGAGACACAGAGAGACACAGAGAGACACAGAGAGAGACAGAGAGAGACAGAGAGAGACAGACAGAGAGAGACAGAGAGAGACAGAGAGAGACAGAGAGAGACAGAGAAACAGAGAGACAGAGAGAGGGGTTTTATAGGTCTTAGATCCCAACGCACGCCCCTAGTGAACCTTGGCGAAGGAGGATCCGGTCGTGAATTTCAAGGCTTGCCCTCGACCTTTAACTGTGGTTTCGAGTTTCGGGCTTAGGGCTTCCTTTGCAGTTTGGGGTTTGGCTTGAAGCCCCTAAACCCTACACGCCCCAAACCCTAAACTCCAAAGAACTTTCCGTCAGATTCGCACGAGGAGCCTCCTTATCGCGCAGCTCACGGAGTCTTATCGCACGATGTTCGCCGACGCCTGGGCTGTTCGTTGTGGCTAACCTTGGGGACTACAAGGGGCTCCCTAGATGGGCTTGCCTTTTGCTGGGGTTCCTCGTATATTAAGGGCACCCATAGAGAATCCCCTGATGAACCCTAAAAGGGTTTAGGGTTTAGGGGTGTCCACCCGAACCCTGCAGGCTCCAAGGACTCTTTTTCTTTAAAGCTTGTATAAGGTTTGCAAGTTGGGCCTCAGGGCTTTCAAAGGGTTTAGGTCCCTTTTGGGTTCACTATTATACGGCGGACCCGATTTTGTAGGGAACCCCAAAAAAGGGGACCATGGTTTGTAGGGGCCCCAGATCCCCACCAGGGTTGAACCCCCAAATCCCAAATCCTAAGCCCCAAACCCTCAACTCCCTAACGGGGGGGGGGGGGGGGACTTTCCGAACCGCATGCTGAGGACATGACCGGCTTCGCTCGTCTCAATCGGGCTGGTGTGGTAGTCTCCGTGCTGGCAGAGGCCAGGGTTGGGGAGTTATAGGTTTTTGGGTTTAGGGTTTAGGGGTTTAGGGTTGAGGAGCTTAGGGTTTTAGGGATTTAGGCATTTAGGGTTTTGGGGTTTAGGGTTTAGGGTTTAACCCAAACCCCATCAACTGGTGTGGACCTGCGGGCCCTTTGCACCCTTTGCCCTATGCAGGGCATAGGGTTTAGGGTTTAGGGCTTTGAAATTGAATAGAAGGGGGCCCTAAGCCATAAGAAGCCTCTACAGGGTTCAGGGCTTCGGGCAAAAGGGCTTAAGGTCTACAGGCTTCTGGAACTCCCAAACCACAAACCCTAAACCTAAACCCTAAACCCTAAACCCTAAATCAGGAAGGCGAAGCTGACATGCCGTCTAAACTGACAAGCACCCTATCAAAAGCCGAGAAACGCCCGCTGAACCCTATAAGCCCTGTAAACCCCATGTACTCTATAAAAACCCCCTGGAACCCCCATAAAACCATCCAAAAGGGCCTACAAGGCCTCATAAAAATGCAAGCACTACAGGAAATCCAATTATACCCTTCACCCGAAACCCCTAAACCGCAACCCCTAAACCCCTAAACCCCTCAGCCCCTGAACCCCTGAACCCCTAAACCTCTAAACCTCTAAACCCTAAGCCAAGGGCTTTTAGGTTTGGGAGCCTGCAGGAGCATGGGTTAAGGGTTTAGGGTTTATATACGAACTCACCATGCAACAAATTCCCCTCCCTCCCCCCCTCCCCCCTTCCCCCCACCCCCCCCCCCCCCCCCCCCCCCCCCCCCCCCCCCCCCCCCCCCCCCCCCCCCCCCCCCGCTCCCCCCCCTCCCCGGCTCCATACCCCTATTGGGGAGTACAGAAGTTGCGTGGAATGAAGGGCAAACCCTACACCCTATAAAGTTAGGATGTTCCCCCTATACTAACAGTCGTCCTTCATAGGGATTTTAGTACCATCTAGTATAATTCCTAGGAAGGATTGTTACTATAAGGGCGAACATCCCGACTCTAAACTCTCAACCGAAACCATGCAGGCTCTTAAGGCTCAAAAATGCCCAAAAACCTTACATTAGGGGGGCCTTTGGCCCCAAAAACCCTAAAATACGAGGCCTTAGAGCCTTAGGGTATTGTTCTGGAGGTTCGAGAAACCTATCCTTCAAGGGACCTAATTGTGGGGTCCTTCGGGGGCTCCGGTAACCTGAGTATTAGGCTCCGGGAAGTACAGAGTCTAGAGCGGCATCTTGTTTGCCGCCACATCTGTTCGCCTTCTGGCGGCCTCCGGCCCTCCGCTGCGTCACTTCAACTCCTGGGGCTTACAGGGTGTTCGGGCGTTAGGGTTAAGGGTTTTAGGGTATTTTAGGGTATTTTAGGGTATTTTAGGGTATTTTAGGGTTTTAGGGTTTCAGGGTTTCAGGGTTCAGGGTGTTAGTGGGGGTGTGAGGGGGTTAGGGTGTGTGTAGGGTTCATAGTATGGTCTCGGGCTCCTAGGTTTCGGGCTTGTAGTGTTTTGGGCTCCTTCCGGAAGGCGTACAGGTAAAAGGTGCATAGGGTTTAGCGCCCTGACGCCTAACTCTGCCTCGACACGTCGACAAACGCTGCGGGCGGCATTGGGAACATCCATGGGTTTAGGGTTTTGGGTTGAATGGCACAGGCTTGCTTCTTCAAAGATGATATGGAGTTGTTCGATTTGCCTTCTGCTGAAAGAACGGTGGGGTTGGAGAGTGGGGGGGGGGAGGAGTTCGGAGACCGTTAACATCTTCACGTGCTAAACCCTAAGCCCGAAACCCTGTGGCTGAAGAAACGGATCTTTTGGGATCCTTGTTGGGCAGAGTTGAAAGAATGGGTGGGTATACCCTAACCCCGCATTATCCCCACACTCCTCTCCATAAGTCAGCCCCGGAGACCCTAAACCCTAAACCCCAAACCCTAAACCCTAAACCCTAAATCGCTATTCCGGGGGAGCCGCCCTCGGCTCCCGAGCCAATCCGAAGCTTCCATTCCTTGACTCAGACGCTGCAACGTGCCAACACCTTCCCCAACGCCAAGCCCCCCAAAAGTATGCTGATGCTCCCGTCCACCCTAAACCCTATACCCTAAACCCTAAACCCTAAACCCTAAACCCTAAACCCTAAACCCTAAACCCTAACTCTCCCCCCCCCCCCCCTAGAACCTATGATTGTTTGTGACTGGTTGAAGTCACCTGGAAGGTCGGCGGGGTTCTTGGTTTGCATCTGGAAGTCTTCTTATTGACCATGAGAGCATGGTCGCATACGCCGATAGACATGACAGGAACCCCCCAAGAAAAAGTATGAACATCCCTTTATTACCCTTAGAAGAAATTTCATAGTATAAATAAATCATCAAATAAATATTATATATATATATATATATGTGTGTGTATGTTTTGTTTTCGTTTTTTTTTTTTTGGGGGGGGGGGGGGGGGGATGGGGGTGGTTCCTAAGCAAATAGTAGCTATATTTTGAAGTAACTGCACACTTTGCAAGCACGCCCGCCGCCCGACATTCGCTTCTTTTGGGCATGAATTCAACATTTTGAATAGTGCGTGCAAGGAGCACGTTCATAATTCTAAGCACGCAGCAGACAGGTTTTGCAGAGTTGTTTTGTTCAGCATTTACATAAGTAGGTGAACCTTAAACTCTTGCCACGACTTCAGAAGATTTGCCCAAAACAACAGTACATGAAAGTCGCTTCAGCAAAACACTTTCACGATGTTTCAGGGGCTGAAAAGGGGGGTATGTAACCCAAGGTTCCCTAATACACCCCAGTATATACTCCCTAAGGCTCCCTAAGCTTCCCTATGAACCCCCCCCTCCCTTAAAGAACCCTGTAAAGATACCCATCCTCTCAGCGTCTCAGCTGTTCAGCAAACAGTGACGCGAAGGAACGCTGCGGCATCATGAAATATCCACAACCCTCTATCCTTCCAGGGACCTAAGAATTAGGTGATTAGAGCCCCTACATGTCAACTTACAATCTTTTTCAATCAGAACCCCTATATAAGGACCCCAAAATTAGGGTTTAGGGTTTAGGCGCTAGGGGATCCCGGTCCTTGGAAGGAGAGGGCGACCCTCGCTCCGAAATCCCTCGCAACCCTTCTTTGGCGCCTGCGCCTTCGCCCGTCCTTCGGCCTTTCTTGCTTCTGGTCTACGCGATCCGCAGTTGCAACTTTCCGGCCCCCTCCTTGAGGATAAGAGGAAGATTAGGGTTTAGGGTGTAGGGGCGAGGATAGGAGGAAGATGCAAAGCATCAGACGCTAGCAACAAGACAAGGCCAATGCATAGCATGCCGGCCCTAAACTCAAGTGTCGCAAGAAAGCCAACAGTTGGTTTACGACAGTGTACAAAAAAAAACTTCCGTCGCAGCGGAGCGCCACCAGCCAATGCTACGATTTGGGCGGCATTTGTTCGTCAGCGGACGTTGATGAGGTTGTCTGCATGACGAGCCGTGCTCATCTCCAGCTCCTTAAAAGATATGGCCGTCAAGTACGTACCGAGGTTTGTATCCAGCTTCCAGTCGCCGACTGCGCCGACCATTCATGACGTCATCCCACAAAGCGTTGCAATCCGCCCACCCGGGTTTAGGGTTTAGGGTTTAGGGTTTAGGGTTTACCAGAAGACCATGGGAGGGAGGTGTAGGGTTTTGGGTTGACGGGGATTGATGATCTTTGAAACTGGTGTACCACAGTTTTCAGTTTTCAGAACTGCACGCATCGAACCCTCCTGTTGCTTGCGGTTTGTATCACGAGAAGCAGCGCCACAGTTTATGTTCTGCATCAAGCATTCGTCAGCCTTTGCCTTTGCTGCTGTGCCGTGCTAGTCTTGCTTACGCCAGAAGTTGAGCTTTAAACTTCTTGGAGTTTTCCTTATTTTGTAGGAATAATCAAGTTTAACCCCTGAACCCTAAACCCTAAACCTTTTTGTTCCTTGGTTATTGGAGAAGCGGCCTTCACCGCGGGACTCTGCGCCGCCTCAGGCTCCTTCTTTCTTTGAAGGCCGCCGGCACGAGATGGTTTAGGGTTTAGGCTTTTAGGGCTTTTGGGTTTAGGGTTTATAGGGTTTAGGGACAGGTGTGAGTCCCGTACATTCGCCAGCGTCGGCGTATCATGCAAGTTGTGTCAACCGGCTTGGTGGCGCTCGCCACCAGGCTCACACTCCTTACGGTTTAGGGTTCAGGGCATAGGGTTTAGGCTTCAGATCCAAAGACTCCACCGCTTGCTCCGCGCTATGCAATCTCCCGCTGCGCTTGCTGCAGGGGCGGTGCTCTGAAAGGAAAGCCACAAATAGCCGAATACGGTTTTAGCCCTAAACCCTAAACCGCTTAAGTAAGGAATCTACAGGTACCTTAAATGCAAGTAGTGTTTCGTCGAAGAGCATTCAGAGTGCTACACCCTTGAAAAAGAATCCCTGCGGCTGAACCTCCAAGCCGGCACAGTCCTTGTGTAAAAGGGGTTTAGGGTTTAGGGTTTAGGGTTTAGGGTTTAGGGTTTAGGGGGGTACTGGGCTCCCAAGAATGTCAACGATGCGAAGGCCCATTTGAAGGCCAACAGGCCGCTTGCATGGGTGTCCACCCTTTTCCTTTGCGTAGGGTGCTTGCTCAAGTCTTTAGGGCTTGGGGGTTTGGTTACTTCGTAGCCCAGTGGTACCCTTTACCCTTTTTTTGGTTATGGGTTCCCTTATAAAGTAACTAACCCCCCAAAAAAGGTGCCCTTATTACAATATGGTTACTGGGCTACTAAGGTTATGTTTGGTTTACTGTACAAGGCCAGGACACGGGTCCAGGTGGAGATGCTCCTGCTGAACTTGGTCATGGGAGCACGGAAGAGCACTAAACCCTAAACCCTAAACCCTAAACCCTAATGTTGGACCCTCTTTACTGTGTAGGGCCCTGAACAGTCGAGGCGTGGATGGGAGCCTGATTACACGGCCCCGGGGGCTTATATGATTTCAATAGGGAGGAGTTTAGATAGGTTTAAAAGGGGCAGCGATGCCCGGTTTTCCTTTTCAAAGGCGCGCCACGTGGAATTTTCTTACGGCGCCCGGACGGTTTGACTTTAAAGAGGACCCCGCAAACAGTCAGGGGGTCCTGAATAATTCGGCCAAATTGACTTTAAAGAGGAGGCCCCTACTAAAGAGGGTCCAACATTAAACCCTAAACCCTAAACCCTAAACCCTAAACCCTAAACCCTGGCTCTGCGCAGAATGTGGCTGCGGAGTCAGTCGTGGCTTCCAACTGCTCGCGCCAGGGGCGACAGGTTTTGCCGCCCTAAACCCTATCATAATTTTGGGGTTGAGGGATGGGTTAGTTAAGTCACAAGTGGCACGGGTATGTAGTGTAAAAAGGTCGGCCCAATGGATTCTGCCCCCCATAAAGAACTCCAATGATGAGGCAAACTCAGCTCAATTTTCGAAGTTCCTCCGCACGCTGAACTTCGAGAACCGTCTGGAATTCAACGAAGGCACGTCAGGACCTTGTAAACCCTGCTTCAAAGTTCTTTTTGGGTGTTTGTAAGTAGGGTTCTATGTGCGCTAAATCAGGCTATATAGCCGTAGTTACCCCTTTTTGTACCCCTATGCCGATAAATTGTACCTCCAAGTAGCCCAAAACCCCAAACCCGAAACCCTAGGTAAGCCCCAAACCGCACGCCACGGGAGGGAAGTTTTGGTTTGGCTGGGGAGCTTGAGTTTGTTTAGGGTTTAGGGTTGGGGATTTAGGAGCTCGTGTGCGCATGTTTCCAGCTGACTGTGGTTCAAAAGGGTACGTACAAGTAGGGTTATAAGTAAGTGCACCTAGGGTTAGAGGGTGCGTGTAACCCCGCTGTATCAATACCCATGAACCTTCAAGTCATGTAGGGACCCCAAAAAACACAGAATTGAGAAGAAAAGGCTTCCTATATTTTGCTAGCCCCAAGCCAGGGCCATCAAATACACGGGACACTGCACAACGCGTAGTAGCCTCTGGGTATATCAGGGTGGTTTGGGGTTTAGGGTTTAGGGTAGTTTCATGGGCCCTGAGTATGGTCCCTTACCTCCTTCAAAGGGTTCTGAAGTATGGGCCCCTATTTCCTATGGGGTATATAAGGGGGCATGTAAGGGGTCCCCTTTGGCGGGCCCATACTAACTACCCTAAGAGGGTATCCAGGTTGGGATTGCGCCGGCGGTCTTAACGCTCAAAAACCCTCTGTAAAAGCCCAAACTCCTAAGCCCCCAACCCCGAACTCCTAAACCCTCAGCCCCCAAACGAGCCCCCCTAAACCTTAACCCTACTAACCCTAAACCCGGAACCCTAAAACCTGCAGCCTAAACCCCAAACCCCAAACCCTAAACCCTAAACCTTAAACCCTAAACCCCACACCATCAACAAACAGGCGACTCCGGTCCGGCCGGGGGTATTCAGATTCATGAGCCGGCGCACCTGGGACCATTTTTGGGAGAGTCGGATGTTTAAGATTTCGGTTTTGAGGTTCGGGTTTAGGGTTTAGGGTTTAGGGTTTAGGGCTAGTAGGGCGATTCGGAGGTTGAAACCGGGGTGCTCGCAAGGCGTCTTTGCGCTGAAGTTTGGGGCACAGGGCTTTGGGTTAGCAGGGTCAGTAGGGTTCAGGGTTTTGGGCTAGTAGGGTGCAGGGT